CCGTCACACCCAGTCTCTTGGCCTCGTTCCGTATCGCCTCGCCAAGGGGGAGTGTTGAAGCGCCTAGTGGCTCTGGCTCGGCGTTCCGCCCGGCATGGACTTAAGGTGGACATCTTAGATTAGGCGCTGCTAATACGTAGATAGTGATTGGACAATCATATGTAGTGCTTCCACGCATGGACCTCTTTATGGCAGGCTTCCCCATTCTAGCGGACTTTCAATTTTGCTTCCTTTTAGTATATAAGAACTCCTCTCGCATCCCCACTCTGCGTGCTCTTTCCCTTCGCACTCAGAGTAAGTCTCCTTCGTCGCCCTTGCGCACTATGCAGTATGCTTACCAGACCCCTGTCTAGCTAACACCGTGTGTATTAGGTACATAGCTATACAGCGTGCTCTTTCCCTTCGCACTCAGACTAACACCGTGTGTATTAGATCGTGCCCGCATGCCACTCGCCAGTTTGCGCTCGCGCAGCCCAGTAGTCGTATCACGACAATAGAACGACCACAGCCTGCGAGAGCCGTGGACAGGGCCTGGGTCATACCCGCACGGCAAGCCATGACTTGGAGCGGGTAACGTAGCATACATTATTTATGATTAATTTGGCTTTAGCATGTATATTGTACTGTTTCGACCTGATCAGCGGGCGCGCATTGCATCAGTTTTCCGCCGACCCGTCCAACAATTATTTTCTCGATTTATGGCGAGTTCGGGGAGTTATCGGAAAATTAATTGGAACGCGCACCGTGGTCTTTGATCAAGAAGTGTCCTACCAACCACATTGAAGGCGAACCTGACTAGCACTGCGTCGAAGTTGACCCAAACGCATCGAAACAGATATCGGGCGCGAGCTCTGCTTTCTGTGAATGCATACGTCCAGCCTCTGTCGGTACGCTAGTGAGAATAACAACTTAATGGTTCTGGTCAGACGGCTTGTGCTCGAGCCGACTTGTGTAGGCCGCGCAGACCATGGCATCAAAGACTAATCAGGTCTAGCCCGTCTGGTACTGTTTGATGAGGGGCTTGCCAGTATTAACGAGTCTGCAAGCAAATATGCGAGTTAGCTGAGCCAGTCATCTGTAGCCTCGATTTCGGGCCCTTGTATTCCCAACCTTTCCCAAGATTATTTGCACAGGAGAATAATCGGACAAAAGCTGGAGCTACGTCGCAGAGGACGCGAGAGTAATGCTTGTCTCGTGGATCGTGGCCTCTCCTACCGAAACGGTATTTTTAAGGACGCGATCTATCATCGTAATCATCAAGTACAACAATACCATAATTAGCCGCTTGGCTACAAGTATCAAATGTAAAGAATGATTGGTGCCCCGTATTAGCACGTTGCGAGCTTCTTATACAGTCCGCAGAATAACGTCGTTGCTGCGCCTGTCTCCGAGTATCGGACACGAGGACGGTACATATGGATTGATCAGGGGTCATAAATCCAAGTACTATAACTATTTGGAACATACCATCGAAACGAATAAGCTGATGGTGAAGAGGATGGAGATGTTTGACTTGTGCGCCAGGTTGCAAGACCCCGAATACCGGAGGCCGTGTGCAATAGGCGCGAGACCCCGGTTAAACTTGAACCATCACGACTACGCGCAAATACAGTAAGTAAGCAGCCCAATCCCTGGTATATTGTCGCCGGATCTTTTTCTGAGTGCCTATCAAGATTGCTGTTTGTATTCGAGCTGAAGCTTCTATCCACGCTGGCTTACCGCGGATGCGGTTGTTCGGTGCGCCACACCAGTCACGCCGTGAGTATGCATCGCCTCGTGTATAGCAGTCGACGTTATCTGAGACCATCATAAAGTAAGTTCCAAATTAGTAGTGTCCATTGTCTGATCTGGTCAGGTCGGCCCTCAACACGGGAGAGCGAAATACGCATAAGTAGCCCGGAAGTAGCGTAGAGGTAGGTACCACGTCTCCCCCCCTCCCCCCTCTCCCCTCCCCTTCAGATGGCAGACAAAGGCAAGGAACGTGCTGTTAATAGCGTTGTTGCTGCAGAAACTTTGCCTCCTACATCACCCGCCGCCCCTTCTTCTGCTATTCTCCCTACGAACCCTGTTGCCACCTTAGCTGGAGCGGCGCCGCACGAGATCGACTCTACTTCAAACACGGTCCCTTCGCGACTTCCGCGTCCCCACAACTTCCGCGCCTTGCGCCCAGCACCTGTCGAATCATCGTCTCGTCCTCATACCCCCGATCCCAAGGCCGCTGTCGCCGTCTCGGCTGCTGTTTCGGCGAAACAACAACATTAGTTGACTCGCCAGAAGATCACCCCTCCTCTTCGTCGAACGCACTTCCTCCCAGCACTTTCACAACACCACGTGTGCTAAAGGTTAGTGGCACACATAACACGCCCAGGCGCAAGGGGTGGTGGACCGAAGAACTGGTCATGGAGGCGGATAAAGTGTTCGTGATGCTCGAACACGGCCAGTGGTTTGAGGCCTGCCTTTCAGGCGATGATCTCTCCGCACAGCAGCTTGAGGATGTGGGTAACTTCCAGGATATCCCCGTAACCGCATCAAAGGAATCCACGACGTACCCTGGTTATGTAAGTCGCGATTTCCCAGCGGTCCAGGTCGTTACTCAACTGTGCAAATGTTATCGTAGTGTTCGACGTTCAACAAAGTAAATCAAATCGCGGGTGGTAAATACTGCACCTACGCCACTGGCTTGCATCCCGAGCTGAAGGATGTGGAGACCGGGATGAAAACTGACTTGTGCACGTATGAAATGGAAGGTCCAGGCAAGCAGGCATTCGAACTCAGTGCTTCGACCCTCAGCAAGAGTACCGCGAATAAGGATCTGCACCTGAATCTTGCACGCACAGCCTGGGCATATATCGTCACGCCGTTCGAGATCAAGACGTCCTTGGACTCCGCACCATTCCGACTCGACGTGCATCATCTCGAGCCCTCACGGACACAAGAAGGGAGGAAGGCGCGGGCTCAGATGACTAAGTACGCTGCTGAGATACAGCTGCGTCAGCACCGCCAATTCGTCTTCACGGTCTTCATTTGCGAGCGCATCGCCTGGTTGTTCCGCTGGGACCGCACCGGAGCAATTGTTTCTCGGCCATTTGACATCTTCGAGAAACCAGAGCTCCTTCTCAACTTCGTCTATCGCATCGCGAGAGCGTCTCCCGCGGCATTGGGATACGACACTTCGGTTAGAATTATGAGGCCCGACGACCCACTGATCGATGCGTTTAATGCCTACCGCGAGCGCCAAGCAATCGACTCTTGGCTTCGCACCTTTGCAGACGACCTTTGGGTCAACAGGACGTTCTATCCTCTCTGCAAAGTGCGGTTTTTATTCCTCATGATTAGTGTGTTCTCTGAGTTTCCAACACTTTAATCAGGTGATTTGCGATGACGTGGATGGCTTGGATGAAGGTAAGAAAGCGCAAGCTTCCCCTCGCACGTACACATACATCATCGGTCGGCACCGTTCGGGCTCACGGTCTCCGACTGGTCGCGGCGGCAAGGGCTTCATAGCTTACGACGTAGACCGCGCCCGGCTGGTCTTCATCAAGGACTATTGGTGCGCTGACCACCCCGAGGTTCACCCTGAACTTGAAGTGTACAGAAAGCTCAACACTGCCCGACTTGCCAACGGCTCGCCGATCTCGCACATTGCGACTGCGATCGCAGGAGGGGACGTCGATGGACCGAAGGGCCAAGTCACTTTGACGCAGGAGTACCTCCCCGTCACCGAACGAACGAAGGGAAAACCTGCAAGACGTTTTCACCACCGCTTTGTTGTCTGGCAGGTCGGACGTCCATTAGAGACTTACGCCAATAGCTTAGAGCTTGTGGGTTATGTGTACCAGGCATTGCTAGGTTCGCAATCAGTGCAGCCCTTCATCCAGTGTACTCACATTGCATATAGCTCACCGTGATGTGTATGAAGTAGCAGGCATACTACACAGAGACGTCAGCATAGGAAATATCCTCATCGATATCGAAACGTCTCGCGCCATTCTCAACGACTGGGATCTCTGCAAGTATCGAAATGAAATGAATCGAGCGGCAACTCAACATGCCCGTTCCGTAAGTACGCGTTATCCGTTTCAATACGTCCCTGACCTACCACTCCCCAGGGAACGTGGGCATTCATGTCGGGTCCACTTCTAGAGTATCCTCTCAAGCCGAACGAACTTCCGGACGATCTAGAGTCTTTCATCTATGTATTAGAGCTCAGCGTCCTGCGGTTTCACGACCACTCCTTGACAACAAACCCGTTTCCCTCCGACACGCCGCACGAGGTTATCGGCGCACCGCTCCGAAATTCGGCACTGGCCAGGTTCGTGGGAGTGAAGTTCGATGCCGCAGACGAAACGGATGAAGGCTATGTTGTCGGCGGAGCCCAGAAGATCCGAGATATGCAGAGCGGTAAACCGGGTTTTACTATGATGGAGGAGTCTTCTCCGCTGTGGCTGTTGCTACGGGGCTTGTACAGGCTTGGTCGCAAGCACTATGCCACCATGGACCTGGACGACTGGCGGAAGAAATGGGGCGCCACTCGACGACGGCACATCATAGACAAGGAGAAGTACAAACCGAAAGTGGACGAGAACGCTTGGTTGTTGCAAGATATGGACGGTTTTGTCAACGGCCGTCCGCCCATACCAGTATCGCTTCCCAGTGAGTTGAATACTCGCCCGCCCTGGAGATGATTCACTGATAGTGCGAACAGTCAACGCGTCCAGTCGGGCTAGAGCTGACACCCGGGATTCTGCTGAGGATGGTAACGAAGACGATAATAATCACAACGAGAACAACGAGGATGCGACGTCTGGCGAGGGCGAATCCGATCCCGAGAACGAACCTTCCGATCGTGCAGGTCATACCCGCAGCCTTTACACGCACGCGGATATAATTGACGCCTTCAAGACGTTGGCCCAGGGACCGTGGCCGCGAGGGGACAAGATTGCGGATCAGTTTTCGGACCTACCCATATTTGGGTTGATTAAATCCCATAGCCAGGTGACGACTGGCAAACGTCGTTCGGCGAAGGAATCAGGGAAGCCGGCGAAGCGGTCGAAAAACAATCCGGAGAGCAGCAGTCATTCAACTAGCGTTGCGTAATTTTTACACCTCTCGACTCTGTGCGTTATATTACATTAGTAAACATGACAAAATTACGAGCCAGCTTGTCCGCTGCGTGGTCTGGCATGTGGCTCAAATATATGACTTATACAACTTGTGAAAGCCGTCTGCCTCACACAGACACATTGTTAAGGTTTTCGTTCAGGCTTTCGAAAAGCTCCCAGATAGCCCTTGGAGCTCTAGGGTCGGAATTCGAGACCGATCTCGCACTCGCCAGTTCATACAAGCACTGGATGGGGAAGCGCCATTGTTGAAAGACCTCAACAAGAATCGTGACCCAGTAGAAACGCAGAGAAAGGGGTTCTTATGGCCAGCATAGCTTCACGATTTATAATTCTAACCTTCAGCGTGTTACACCAGATTTTACACTTGCGATCACCGGGGTCTCGTGCGCACACATCTTACACACATCTATTCTTAATCCGCACCTCGCCGACATCTAAGATGTGCTGTAGGAGTGGCCTGTACTCTCTGAATGGACCGCGAATACCGGCGCGCCGCTCACTTCTCGACGACGTAGACCACCACCACGACCCGTCTCTTCAACATGACATTGAGGGGATGGTCTTGACATCAGCTGGAGCTCTATCGCGATGCTATGACCGTCGCTTTCCAGCTCGTGAAGGTTCATGAGGAATCTGGAGACGACGACGAGGGGCTGTGCGTTGAAATCAACATGGACACTGATTTTCAACTGCAGGAATATGTACTCACAAGGTTTTCAGCGAGAGTGTCAACAGGAAGCACGACAGACTGATAATCTGCGGTAAGTGGCGGCAAAACCTACGAAAGCGGGCCACCCACGCTGCCATTAAGAGTGAGTATCTGCAGTAAGTTGATCACCAGTAGTACGCTGTACGATAACGTCAGTTAGGCCGGTTATGGCAGCCAGTACACATACGCAAAACACGCCGTCCCTAAATGCAGACCATTAGTGAGAATCCATGCTATCCTGATGAAAGAGACTGGCCGTCACGAAGGAGACATGCGGTGAGTGACATCTGGATATTAAACGTTCGAGCGCCGCGCCACTGTCGGTATGTCTTCACCCAAGTCACGACAAATGCAAGCGCGTCCGCCAGAGTCAGAGAAATTCGAGGGACGGCAATCACTGCGATAAAGTTAGCTTGAATGGCAGTGTATGCATCACCATACACCTACGACTGAAAAGCTCAGGGATGTTAGTGACAACGACCATCTGCGCCGACAGGAAAATCACGCACAACGACCCCAGACGGCTCGGAAAGCGTAAAACCGCCGTACATACAAATAGTGGTGCGCCCTGGTATCCCAGATCAGAGCGGACGAGAAAATACTGAACAGCCCAACGATCAGTTTATGCTGAGAAGATCTCGTATGTGTGAGGATGCGCACGGTGTTTGTCGCAATAGGCAGTACGCCGAAAGTAAAAACGAGTAGTGAAAGCGTATATCTCCCACGGCGGTCCCAGAGCGCAAACACGCGCCATGCAGCAAATACTACAAAAAAAAATAAGCAGTGGCTTTGATTTTGAAAGACCGCACAGTACTGATCATTCACGTACGAGACGTCTGCAAGGCACCAACTTGCCATAGGATGTCATTCAAGACGATGAGGGTTGTACATCTAGTCCAGAAAAAGCAAGTTCTTAGTCGAGTCGCTCCTGCAACAAGTAATTATGAGACCGACATACCTCTGAAGGAGGAGTTAGCATCACTGAATGTAAACGGGCATAATGTCTGGAAATTACCTCTGGAGAGCTGGGCACAAATTGTATCGCGGCTTGCAGGACAATAACCCAGCGAATAGAAATCAGGAGAGAGCTCGATAACTTCTTCTTTCGCATGGCCTCAAACTCCTTGTCTATCGTGATTGCATGCTCATATAATATTAGTGCTGAAAATGCTCCTTCAACAACGCGCCGCATGAGTTACGGACCGTTGTTGTCATACCTGTGACAGCCCACCCAATATAGGTTTGTGTCTTCCTGCGTGGCGAGCGTTTTGTCATTGAGTCATATCAAACATGCGCGGAGGCAATGAACACGTACATGTCGAGTATTTCAGCTTGAGACATTGAGCTGACCACTGGCCCCAAGCCTGGGAATCTACTCCTGGGCTGAAAGGCAGCTTTTGTATGACGTTCAAGAGCCGGCTGCGGCTAGTCATAAACGCACTAGCCGTGTATGACATAGATATTCGCCGGAAAGGATACTTCGTTAGCTGCCAAACATTGACGTTCCCTGACGTGCGTGCTCTACGCATACAACTCCGGCTGAGCCACAATTACGTGCGACTTAACGGACGCAGCCGCATACGACTTGCCCAACCCAGCGCTGGACGTTGTACCTGCTCGTGAGCTGTAATGGAATGACCCGCTACTCTAGGTGGTCGCACGCACACGCTACTAAGCCATCTTCTCCCTCTCCTGAATTTAAAGTGCTACCTACAGAGGCGCTGCTAAGCCATCGCCGCGCCTTACTGGACCTGGACTCTTCCGCCGCGCCTCGGAATTTGTTTCCAAGCAATCCACCCCCGTTGCGGGAACGATTGCAGACGAGCTGTCAAAACTCGCCGCCATCACTGATGAAACAAGCTTCGTCTTCGCTTGGCTTTCTCTTGGATTTTCTTCGTACCTTCACTTTGACGACATAGAAACGCGTGCTCGTTAGCTGAGAAAAGGATTATATGACGGAGAGAACAGCCCGCAAGCACCTTGCACACATGATTATTGATTACAGAGGGCCACTAATCACTGTACGCTCTCGTTTCACATGGCCGTGAGCACGAGGGCGAAACCGTGAACGGAGGGACAGCTGGGATGGCCGTCCTGAGGTTTCAGCCGAGCAGTGCGGTGATGCGTCCCAGTGCTACACCACGTCGGCACTATCGTCCTTGCGGAGACTGCTCTCTCCGCTCTCGGAACGTACGCTCCTTCGTTGTTTCTGGTCTTCAAAAAATATGCAAACATGGTTCTCGAGTCTGCAGAGTCCGCGGTGTTTGATCAAGCAGCATTCCGTGATAATGCAGTATCCTGCTTGTATCCGGGGCCCGTCTCGGTGAAAGCAGCTCGACAGAGAGAAGGCAATAGCGACGGCTAGGCGCCACAGAAACATAGCGCACATATCATACCCAGTAGCAAGAACGTGTGCATATATGCACCAGAAAGTACTGAGACACACCATAGCATATTGTCTTTCTGATCACGGAGGCTTTGCATATCACAACAGCTCAGTAGCTGTGGCAGCAGACTCTCTAACCAAAATTCAACGCATCGCCATGAACATCGCCATGAGAAGCATCGCAGTCGTTGTGGACGTCGCGGCAAGGCCCATCAGCTCTTCCTCTTCATCGAGCATTAAATCCTCTTCGTCTGAGTCGATATTTGCTGGCCAGAAATAGTCATCGTCGTCGTCGTCATCCAAGGCCCATGGTGTGGTCGCGGGAGGCGGGAGGGCGGGTAGGCCGTCCCTAGGCATATAAGCATTGTACGTCTGGCCAGATTTTCTTAGAAACACGTACTTGTCGGGGTATTCCTCGAAGACAATCGCATCGAGGATGGCCTGTGGGTATTGCGCGTCGACCATGCGCTTGCGAGCGTCCGTGCTTGAGAAAAGGGGTTTGCCAAGGCAGTACAGCTTCTCGAGCGCTGCGTCCTGCATAAGCGTACGCACGCTCTGGACGTCGTTGCCGAGCATGTGCTCTATCGCACTCGCATCAAGCCACAGCTCGCGCACGCTTGTGGAGCGCCTGAGCGCAACAATTGTTGCTGGGTTTTGTGTCGGGTATGTAGGGCTGTAGTGTACTTCTCTCTGTGGAGATGTCAGCACTGGATCATGGCAGCGGCGAGTGGCTTGGTGCAGGCCCCGACTGCGGGAGTGCACTCAGGTACCCACAGTGCACGCCCCGCAGGCCGGCACAGAGCGTGAATGAAAGTATTACGGGATAGCGACTTACCAAGCGGGGCCATGTTGCGATCTGTTCATCTACGAGCTTGCGCAGCTCTTCGACCTTCTTGTTCCTGTACACCCTGCGGTCCTCAAGGAAGAGACGCTTCGGGCTGAGGGCGCACAGGGCCTTCTTGATCCCGGTCGTGCTCTCATTGCTCTTCACGCTCACGTACACGTACAACGTCTCGACGTTCGGACTCGCGCCCGCGATGGTCGCCATATCGCGACCGTAACCGCCGAAGACCTTGAGCTGTCGCAGGGCGCGCCCGAGACCCGGCGTCGCTTTCAGGAGGGCGGCGACCGCGGCGGCGTGTGCAGGCGTGCGAATTGCAACCGAGGTGTAAAGGAGCGGCGTCGCGAGGCGCAACCAGTATTTGCAGACGAGGAGCAGGTCCTGGCATGTGCGCTTCTCCTTTTTGTCGTACGCCGACGGGCGCGCTAGCGAGTGCCAGCGGGAGCGCGAGCTGCAGAATGCGTCGGGGGAAAGGTGGAAGCAATAGCTGAGGATCTCGCGCAGGAGCTCTTCGGGCAAGGTTTGGATCGCCGTAGGCATCGTCGTCGTCGTCGTAACAAATTTACGAGTGGCGGGAGCGTCCCCCAAAGTGGCGGGTCACGGTGGTCACGGATACGTCACCAATGTCACGGGGCGTGTCGCGTCGCGTCACGGCCGCGGAGCTTGCTTAGCATGCCACACCACTGGTGACAGCAACAAGTGTAATACTGATATAAACACTCTATCTCTACAGCGCCTCTAAAGGTCAAAGCGAATTTCGCTTGTGAGCTCAACCCGCCTCGGCCTTCCGCGCCTCCCTCTGCTCCGCATGTTCACGCCACCGGCCACCGCGCCACCAGACCAGGAGGACGAGGAGCTCGGAAATGCAAAGCCAACCTGCCCACAGCGAATACAAGCCACCATCTCCGATGGCGTTCTGAAGGGGCACCGCGATCTCTGCAGCAACGAAGCCGAGCGAACCGCGGAAGCAACTATTGAGCGCGACCGCAGACGAGGAGCGGCCCGCGTTTGCGTCGACGATGTACGCGAGCGTACTCGAGTAAATCGAACTGTGAATAATTCAGAGCGGAAACGGAGAGATGGCAAGAGGAAAGGACGGACATGGAGAAGAAACCCGAGAGGAAGAGCATCACGCAGATTGCGGAGACGTTCACGTGCTCCTCGCACACCCAGCCGTAGCCGACTACTGCTGGGGGAAGGAAGAGCATGAATATCCGCGTCGAGAGCAGGCGCATCTGCGCGGCCGGTCACTAATTTGTAGCGGAAATGGGCAAAATAAGGCAAACCTCTGGCTGGCTGTTCCCGCCGCTCTGTTCTTTGAGCTTCTTGTATACTCGGTCAGACCACCGTCCGCCGAGAATGCTGCCAAGCATACACCCTAGCGTCACAAATCAGCCCCTCCCAGGTGCAAGCCATACGGCGTGTAATAGAATAAAACTCACCGGCACCATAGCTTAGGAGGACAAGCCCGATATGGAGCGCATCATACCCGTACTTGTCGCCGAGCGTGCGCGCACAGGTGTACGCGATGCAGTACGAGAAGCCGAAGATGAGTCCGCTCGCGCTTAAGATTGCGACGTTGTTCAGCCGGCGGAACACGAGTATCATTGGCCCGATAGGGTTCACGTCCCGCAGCGAGAGCCGCACCTCACGCAGCTCTGCTTTGGCCTTTTCAGGGGCCGGTGTTGCCGGCGTTGGAATCGCCTCGACTATCTCTTGCGAGCGCACGGACCCAGACGACGGGCGGAGTGCCGCGCTCTTCTCTTGCTCTTCACCGTGTTCTCCACTCCCCTCTAGGGGCTTCTTGTTATCGGCCACTACATCGTTCTCGGGTGCTTTCTCGATGACGGTACCGTGGCTTACCTCCTCGCGCGCCCTCTTCTCGCGCTCGAGCTCACGTAGTGCTCGACGCGTAGCTTCGCGGCGGCGACGGCGGACAGCAGCAGAGTACACCGCGCTACGCTCGCGGCGGAAGGTGTCCTCGAACGCGAGAAACGCAAGGACGCAGAGGCCCGTGAAGATTGCCAGGAAGTAGAACGTCGAGCGCCAGCCGAGGCCCTGCGTGAGTGCGCCACCGAGCAGAGGGCCGAGTGAGGTCCCGATGAGGGGTGCGCTGTGGAGAGGTTTGAGATTCTAGGAGGGTGCTCGACATAGGAAGGGGCATACCAGTAGTAGATTCCCATCATTGTTCCGCGCTCATGGGGCTCGTAAATGTCCGCGAGCGTTGCAGCGCCGATGGAAATCACAGCTGCGCCTCTGGTTGAGGTGTGTCACGTCAATACGCGAAGGAATCTAGATGCAAAGCGTACCCTGCTCCCTGTAGACACCGCATGCCTATCAGTACCCCGATGCTTTTGGCCGTACCAGCGACGACACATCCGATCATGCAGAGCGTCATCGATGCAATATATACTTTCTGCAGTCATGTTTAGTTTCCGTAAACTGGCCAGAATACTGGCATTAAGCATGCTTAACATACCTTTCGTCCCACAATCTCAGATACCGCGCTCCAAATGATCGGAAAGCCGCCCTGAAGAAGGATGAATATTGAAAGACTAAGCGAGATGCTCCCAGGACCAGTGTGCAACTCGCGCTCGACTTCCGCTATACCCGCTGTACGATGGAGCAATCACCACGTTATGCTGATAGCTCGTGCGGGGGTGCATATGAAACTCACGGTTGTATATGTTGCCTCCTAGCCCCGCAATACATGACGCAGCAGAGACTAGGACGAGCACAAACAGCTGCAAAGATGGTGTATTCAGTATCTCACGTAGAGGAAATGCAGTGTGAGCACACCTTTTTACTTCTTGACCACATACGCGGGTCGTTCTCGACTTCGACATGCTCTATGTCCGTTTTCATATAGGTAGCCCCCGCCCGATCCACAGGGATATCTGGCTCTCCCTTCTCAATATCCTGCGACTCCGCAGGTGCATGTATCGTCTGGGTCGGGGTCACGGCAAGGGAGGGCGTTTGCATCGTATGTGAGGTTGGGGACATGAGTGATGTACTAGACTTGAAATTTCGTGCGGGGAGTCGTCAGGATGAACTGTTTAAGCGACGGATAATCTGCACACAAGCGTCAGCACGCCGTGTGAGCACGCGGATGCGATTGCGGATCGTAGTTCGAACCGGGCCACCTGTGTAGCAAGGTTCGTACAATGCCCTGTGTAGGAGCAGATTCGTAAGGAGTCGCGGTCCAAGGGTCTTTTAGGCAAACTCTCCGCGCAGCAAGGCGAGCAGGGCGCAAACCAGACGCCACAAAGAGATCGCAGAGCGTTACGCGCGAGACATGCACATACCCGCGCATTTATTCTTATCCCACAGGTGGGTTTCGGCATCATAGGCGATCGGTATAGAACCGACGTCGCACCTCGGCCACGCAACACCCTCCCATGCCGCCGGGTGCAACTCGATTGGCGAAACGTCGTCGTTTACGTAGGTGGAGCACCAAGACGGGGCGGCATGAAGGAGGAAAGAAGGGGGACAGGCTGCGAAAATGCGGAGGGGAGGACATACCAGTCTTTCGCTATGCGCTATCAGCGCACGCACCTCGCCGGGAAGAGCAGCAGAAGACTCTCTCAGCTCGAGGCTACAAACGAGGTGGACGTCTGTGTCAGAGATGGTGCACAATCGTATCAGTGTGCCATTAAACTCTCATGGCTCCGTTCGCCATGGCCTTCCATGCGGCAAGACGGTCCTATTGACGACCAACGGGAGGAGATAAGTTCGGGAATTTCGGCCGAAAAGTGGGGGAAGAGAGCTCGGAAGAGCATGATGACGAGGTCGAGCGTTTCAGAGAAGGCAATTCTGAACATGAGACACGGACACACGGTCGGTATTGTACCGGTAAGTCGCATGTTGGTCGGGTACGTAAATCGCACGCTGGGGTGGGTAAGCCGCGATATTATCGACATAGCAGTGAGAAGTATATCGTGCGCATGCAAGAACACAGTCATAATACTTACAGGCGATGTTTGTAGCGGTCATAGTGAGCGTAGAGAGATCTTCCAAGTCGCTCGGCCGGACCATTTTCAAGGTCCAACAAATCGCCAGTAGTATCGGGACTTAGTGAGTGAGTAACGGCCGAGACTCATGCCCATGAACACTTACGAAATCCGGCCAATAGTGCGATCCCCTATAGGCGGGGATCCATGGCACACTCGCGTCGTGTATCACATATGTGCACGCATTTACCCTCCGAGACTTCTAGCTGGCAAAATGTAGGCGCCGAGGCCGTGGTCCTGGTTCCATTCCTATCCATCGTGTGTTAGTTTCAAAGCTCCCGAACTGGTCACTACAGACTTGCCGAACCTTTCTCAACCACGGTAAGTATTCTGAGGTTGAACGAAGAAGAAAAAGGATTGACCCGGGCTCGAACCAGGGACCGCATCACGTGAAGTTGGACGAACCCCAAAACCAGGTACACCATTGGGTCCTCGATGATGAACAACATCTAATCCACGGGGGGGGCAGTTTTGGCGTCCCACTGCCTTCTGCGTCATTCCAGGTCACCGTCACTTGAACTTCAACCAAGTCTATCCTCACATACCCGCCCTCTAATCAGGGCGTAGTCTCTGTATAATACCTGATTATGCAAATTAATCAAGCCCCGCAAGAAAACTACACTATCCTTCGCATCAAGCGGAAACGAAACGAGGAACCACTTGACGCACTCGGTATGCATGGCTCATGAGCCTTGTCAGTCTGTGTACTGAACATGTGTATCGAACAGTCGTAGAGTCTTCAAGACGGAAGAAGACAAAAGGAAATACTAAAGACGATGTGAGCGTGTTCCAGTTCGCCGAAACCGTGGAGCAGGGTGCGTTCGAGGATGAGAAGCAGAAGCAGGATCTCGAGGTATTCATGCCAAACATACGCATGCATGAAACGCTTATCAACCTAGTAATAGAGCAGAATAAGCAAGATCGCCCGCGAGAATGCACGCAAGGAAGCTCGCACGTCACAAACCCAACCGCCACCCAAGGCAACACGACCACCTTCCCCAGCCCAAACGCGCAGCCCGCGCGTGCCGCTCGCAGAGAAACAGCCAGTTGAAAAGCCGTCTCCGCGTGTGCCACCACGATGTGATGACCCTACAAGGAAGTACACTGTCGTGCCCGCCCAGAGCCCTGCTCTGCGTCCCTCGGAGTCCGACAAATGGAAGCGGGCGAAGAGGGGCCGGCCCATGGCACCGTACGTCTCGTTCGCCCCATTTGTTGGCGATCGCTTGATACAAAAATCCGCAGGCCAAAGGTGCACTCGTACAAGGATCTGCAAAAGGCGACATTCACGATGTATGATGCCATCCCGTCTTCGTCATCCCTCGCTTCCCTCGCCTCGCCCAATCCGACTGCACAAGGTGGCGACCGCCCAGATGTTGATGCGGAAGTGGCCAAATTTTTGCCTCTATTACAGGATTACCTGAAAAGTGCGTGCAAGCCCTCCTTCAACGTGTAGTTCCCTGACAGTACAGCTGTAGTCAGCGGAGAGGGGTCGCCTTCGGCTACCCCGTCAAATTCAAACGCGAGCGGCTTGGCAAATGAGGAAGATGACTACGTCTGGGATGTGTTCTATTCGCGTCCCGCGTCATACTGGGAGCTGTACGGCGACCAGCGGAAGGCCATTGGTACTGTGTACGTCTATTCAAGCTCATCTGCCCTCTGATGTGCTAATCGCACGGTGCAGCACCGGCCTTCCTGAGGACGACATGTACGGCTCTTCGGATGAGTCGGAGCCCGAGGATGAGGACGACGAAGACTCGAACGCCGAGGACTGGTACAAGAACGACTATCCCGAGGAAGAGTCTGACCGCTCCGGTGCAGATGACGCGAGCGATGGCTTCCATGAGCACTCGGACTTTGACGACGTCGTGCATGAGCGCAGGCAGTGGGACCTTGGACTCGAAGACGACTCGTACAAGACGCTATAGTTATGGCAACAGAGAAAGCCACCACGACTATGGCCATTTATCTCCAGCATGTTCTCGACGTGGTATACGGTATAAGACTTCTAGTTGTAATTTCGTGAGCATTTGTACATCAGTCCCGTACCGTCAATTCATCCACTTTATAGACTTGAGCATCGCATGGCTTGTAGGTATCGCTCCAAGGCAAGCTCTCAGACGTCAGTAGGTTACTGGAGACCAGCCCACTAACTAGTTTTTCTAAGGTGGAAAAGGGGCTGATGAATGCAACCTCGTCTTCCTACAAGCTCTAACAGCGACACATGGAATGCATGGGCAGATGTACGGCGCTCTCTACCATCTCAATAGTGTCATGATTCAGATCTCGTCTGACTTCGAGCTCCTCATCGACGGCAGACGGACTGGCATACCATTGTACTCCGTGTTCAAAACCAGCCGATATCCGGCCCACTACCTACTCTGGCCAGCTCCTCAAACCCTCTAGAATACGCCTTTGGTGTGTACGCCGCATGGGATGGAGAAACAGGTGGTTGTCTCCCAGTCCTCGACGCAGATACCTAGTACCGCATCATTTGCGACGACGGATGAGTCGCTCACCTTTAGGCCCCTCACAATGCGGATGCGCAGGCGACGACATCACTTCCCTGGCTTCTGCATCGCGCGTGGTCTGTGTACTATATAGAGGACGGCTGGGTCATCTCTAAAGTCCCATCCATACGTACGCGGCTATGTTGGGTACAATTAGACTTCCCGGGGTTGACCAGGTACTTGAAAAGCCTGCACAGCGGCGATATGCAGTAGTGTATAGAGCGCATTGGCTGTACCCCCATCGTCTCTATCTCATGAATAACAATACGACCGGGTCAAGGGTGAGAACGATGGTAGCAAGAAGCCAGAAATAAATCCCAAATTCAGCTATCGACCCGGACTCATTAAATCGCCTTAGCATTGCAAGGCATGCGTCCCGCAGGATCTGGATGCGACTAAGACTCTTCCGTCCGACCCATGATATGATCCATGCGCATTAATGCGCAAGGCGGCGCATATCGTGGAGCAGGAACAGGCGCCTCGCCCATTCAGCAGTCACTCTTGACCGCGACCTCTTCTTCTCTACATTGCTCTTGAATTTCGTCCTTTGGTCAAGGTTGAAGGCCTCTTTCTGCGAATCAAATCCCTTGACAGTGATATAACTTGAGCGTGATGTAATAGCTCTGAAAGAACAAAACGGCTGGGATGAGGTCATAGGCAGACATAGTGCCAGCTGGCAGTGGTGCAGGACCTGGGGAACAGCAGCATGTACGTCGGTATGGTCTCACCTCTGCTCTTCATCTCCCTTCTCATTAAACGTTCTTCCAGATACACGAATAAATACAGTCCATGAAGTCCAATAATACAATCATCCAGTAATACAAGCAGTCCTTGTCTTTCTCTCACCGTGCCACCCTACTATTCACTGTAGCCCATAGCTAGCCAAACCCGGCGCCGGTCGACAAGATGAAGCTGGTATGATAGAAAACGTCACCTACGAGTTCATTCCGGTGATCGTCTGCTCATTCTACAACGCCTATTTCCTGGCAACGCGGAGAATGATCTTTGGTCGCCTCCCGTCTGCCTCCTGTGGGCTGTTTACCGTACCCCCCTTGCTGCCTGTTTTGGCTGACGACAAGCCCTCCAGCTTGAGTTGTCTCAGCGAGGATCGCATTGCAGATTCGGGATACTGCTCGTAGTCCATGTACTTCGACATCATCACGGCGTGAAGTTCTCTTTCTGCTCCCTGCTTCTTCGAGGTGGCAACGTTTGGCGGCGCAGTATTACCAGTCATGTTTGGGCGTGAAGTGGGCTGTGGTGGATGTTCGTGGTAGCGAGGATAAACCTGATGGGCGTGAGTTCTTCATAACGCCTTCGTGCGACCCCATACCGTGTTTCCCTTGTGTTATCTTGACGCTAGGTCATGCTAATTAGCAAATCTTGTTCTCAACGGGATGTCAGTGCCATTTCCACTCGCCCAAAGCACGCAGTGCTACGAACTTCCATCTGCAACGGACAACTGTTCTTGTGTACGGTCGGTGTAACGGAGCCGCGACGTCTGCAGATCCCGACGATCCCGGCGACCTCCCAGGCCATGTAGTTGCTTACATCATTCTCGTTGCACGCGTCGTCTTCCTAAAACTTCCACACTGTAGGCGTCGAGGCATTATTAGGCCCGCTGACTGACGACCTGGGTTGATTAAGGCGGCGGCCAGGAGATACACTACTTCAAAAGATCCTGATCCGCACCGTTGGACAAAAGGGTGACCATGGAATACCCAGGCATAGAATATATTTGTTGATATCATGGCAGGTTGTGTGGTGCCAGAACCTTCCACCATTCAGCCGACGGTCGATCAGTAAGTGTACATCACAGACGTTCCGACCATTTACTTATCGCCAAGTGGGATTATCCCGCACTTCAAGATTCAGATCGATATGTCCGTCCAGAATGGGCACGAAGGGCGACATTCCGCGAGATGGAATTCAACCTGAAGCTCGTCCTACAACCAGTACGGTTTGGCTACGCCCTTCGATTTATTCCAAGCATCTTCGCAAGCCCGCACCACCACCCCCTGTAAGGGGCCTTTATCACTAGCACGCAAATGATGTTCAGTAGTCTCATTGATCGGAGAAGACTTGCCTACTCACCAGTCTGCTACAGTGCCCTCGATCTGCGCCTTGCGGCTTGCCGCCATGACAATGCCGTGGTCACCCGGGCGCAGCTTGCTATGCCACTGCAGCCATCGATACGCCACTTCAGTCAAAGTCAGGTCATGCGCTTTGACAGCCCGCTGGAGCTCGGTGATGGCGGACGCCATGGGGAAATACCGATCCTGGTACCAGGAAGGAGTGAACTTGAGGTCGAATTTCTGCAGCGGAATCTCTTTGCCTGACTCGGGCACGAAGAAGCGGTCGGTAAGGTATCCACCAGCCAGCGGAGAGTATGCGGCGTATTTGATGTTGAACTTACGCAAGCAAGGGAAGAGCTCGTCCTCAGGGAGGCGATCTATGAGGTTGTACACACCCTGGTACACGGTTGGTAAAATGAAATCGCGGCGTCTGCAAATCCCTACGACCTCCGCGACCTCCCAGGCCATAAAGTTGCTCAGTCCTAATTGCTCGCTATATGCCGTAACCAGTGAGAATAGGGAATTAAATAATAAGGGCAGGAGACGTACAAGCAACCGGCCTTGTGAAGGCTGTCTACTGTCTCAAGCGTGTCTTCAAAAGGCACGCTACGGTCGGGACCATGGAGATAAAAGATGCGAATTTTCTTGCCATTCAGGGCGTCCATAGAGACCCCGAGAATCTCCTTCAGCCTTTGCGGAGAGTGGTCGCCTGGCTGAGACGGAAAAATCTTCGTGTCTACACATGCGACGCCCCTAAGGTCAAGATGCCCTACAAGCTTCGGTTGTGTGAAGAGACAAAAGTTCCAATTGGTAAATCCGAGTCAGGAGTCAGATGATGAAGTTTAGCTAACCTTTTCGGACGTGCCCTTGCAATATCCCCGTGCGGTGTCAATACCAATGTGGCCATGATCTACTAGAAAGTCTAGAAAATCCTGTGCAACAGCAGGATCAGAGACTCTTCCGTTGCTATCTGCATCGCCGAAGTCTCCAGCACCCTAAGCGCAAGTCGTCAGCTCATGAATCGTTGAATGCAAGCAAGAGGAATGGACAGAATCCGCGCACCAAAATCAAGGGAATTCGGCTTGGCATGTCGAACTAGAAAGATATTTGACGTGGAGTAAAAAGAAGTGCGTGGCGTGCTTGAGAAAAACGGAGATTCTTTATATATGTGACGCATCAAGCATCAACTTCCGTGGAATAACTCCGAGCTCCCATGGCCGAAACGCCAAGCCACAACCACAAAATGGAGAGTAAAGCTTCAAAGCTTTAAAACTCGACATGCATAGTGTGCTCAATAATCTCGTGTCATAATCTACATCGGACGACCCCTCGGGATCCGGCTGAACGAATCGCGCGCGGGGGCCAACCTGCGGATCATACGCACATCCAAGAATACGGAGATTTATGGCAGTCATATAGCCATTCTGACACTAAATGTGCTGACTAGTCAGAAATGAACGAGTTAGAGATAGAACGAGCTTAAAGAAGGTAGACTACGAATCTGTGATGCCGGTATGGCTACCGTGGGGAGTAAGGACGCGATGTAATTGAGATGATTTCACAAGCAGAAGGCCAAGTACATCAGATCAGCTGATTTATGTACTCTACAAGCTCGCATGGCATTTACATCACCGGAGTCATCGCAACACGCAATTTCATAACCAGTATCTCGGAGCCGTACCCTCCACTTTCTTCCAAGCATCTTCGCAAGCTTGGGCAACGGCATCGGGCAAGGGACCTTTCTCGCTACTCTCGTAGTTAGAGATAAGCTCGCGGAGGCGCTTTACGCACTCACAAGTCTGCCAAATTCGTTTCCAGCTGCATCTTGTTGCTGACTGCTACAATGATGCCGTGATCCCCGGGCTGCATCTTGCTGTGCCACTGTAACCAACGTAAGGCGACTTCCGCGAGTGTCAGCCCATGCACTTTGACAGTCTCAAGTAGCTCCGCAACGGCATTCGCTGAGCGGAGGTATCGGCCAGTGTAGAAAGACGAAAACGGATCGTTCAGGCTGAACTTGGAAAGCGTGACCTCTTTAGTGGGATCGGGGATGAAGAAGCGATTGGTGAGGTAGCCACCAGCGAGAGGGCAGTAGGCGGCGAATTTGATGTTGAATTTGCGGAGACATGGGAACAGCTCGTCCTCGACACGGCGGTCGATAATGTTGTAGGCGCCCTCGTAAACTGTAGGTGCCATGAAGCCGCGCCGCCTGCAGATCCCTACTATCTCGGCTACTTCCCAGGACGCAAAGTTGCTTAGGCCGAACTCTTGGCTATCGTAGTGGTGTAATCATTTGTGCTTAGCATGATCATAATCTACAAAAGACCGTACTCACAACCCGCCCGATTTCCTGATCTCTTCAACGGCTTCCAGAGTGTCCTCAAAGGGCACACTATGGTCGGGAGCATGAAGGTAAAAGACGCGAATCTTCCTTCCGTTCAAGGAGTTCAGGGAGGTATTGAATATCTCCTTCAGCTTCTCTGATGAATGATCACCCGGAGCGACTGGGAAGATCTTCGTGTCAACGTGTACGACATCCCTTAAGTCGAGAGTGCCGACAAGCTGTAATATAATCGGGAATACCGGGGTGTCAGTTCCGGCGAAAGCTACATGTGAATAAAACACTGACTTTCTCAGAGGTGCCTTGGCAATATGCACGAGCGGTATCAATACTGATCTGCCCTTTACTGACCATGAAGTCAACGAACTCCTGTGCAACGGCCGAATCAGAGACTTTTTCGCCAGTACCAGGATCCCCGAACTGGCCAGCCCCCTGCCATGCGGCCAACCAATTCACAATGAGCACAAAACTGCGCATAGCAAGACTGTGGCACTCACGAGAATGACAGGGATACGAGTCATCTTGTCGAGTGAAAAATTGTTGGCCGCGGGTGGCAATAACGGTGGGTGAGCTTGACTGGCAAAGTGGACCGTGTCAAAGGAGCTTTATACTTCTGTTGTCACGGTGTGCGAATATTTCTCGGTAAGTTATCCCGCATCGATACTATCCTCTTGACTAAAGCTGCGCCATGAGGCCATGAGGAGTCCTTAGCACTGCGATTTTAGTGACGCGTCGACCCGGCACGCTCAGCGCTTCCGGTAGCACCAGGAACCCGAGTGTTATTCAACCTGAGCGGTGAGAACAGTCTAGTAATTCATATTGTCAGCCTGAGGTTACGCGCGAGTGTACTGTAACGGCTACGACTCGGCCAGTGCCAACAGATGATACGCAACAGGCCATGTTCGGCCGGCTACTGGTGCCCGAAATTGCAACGCATGAGTCCATCAAATGACCAAGTGTATCTGGAAATGGACAAGGGCCGCGATCCTCAGCAAGGCTGGCAACCGTGAAAGCGTGACTCATGACGCGCCCTCGGTACCGCTCAAGTTCCCGGCAGCGACAATGCCAAGAGTGTATACGAGTCCCGTCGGCATGCGAACTTGACCGCAGAATCGGTTGAAAGGGCGCAGATTGAACAAGGGTGCCGTGCTAATTGGCTTTGCTGTAGGGTATGATGGCTACTTCGAACACAGTCGGCGTCATACTTCAGCCGACATTCCAAGCTCCGATAGCCTTGTGGCGTCAATCGCGAAGCGGGAGCGTCTCCCGGCTGCCTGCAGCTTATTCGAACAAGAGGCTAGCCTCCATTCTCGGGTTCTAGCTGCTCTTGAACGGAACGGCAACGGTGGGTCATTAAGATAACCATAATGAGGTTACGCGAATTATCTCGTTGTGCATAACTCGAGGAATATGAGTCGTCGGGTTGCTCAGCCGAGTGAAGATATTTTCGGCTCTACGTACCCCAATATTTTACATATAACGCAGACCGTCTCAAAAAGCGCCTCAGCACACAATCTTATATCCAATACTTTGGGGCTGCAGACTTCGCTTTCTTCCAAGCATCTTCGCAAGCTTGGGCAACAGCGTCCGGCAAGGGGCCTTTCTCGCTGCAAGAAGTCAAGATAGAAAATCAGAAATGTGTGTATGTGAGCATCTCGCGTACTCACCAGTCCGATAAGTTCGTTTCCAGCTGCGCGCTGTCGTCTGCTGCCACGATGACGCCATGATCGTCCGGCTGCAGCTTGCTGTGCCACTGCAGCCATCGTAGAGCGACCTCTGAAAGCGTTAAGTTATGTGTCTCGGCGATTTCCAACAGCTCTGCGACAGATCTTGCTAGGCTGAAGTTAAGATATCGGCTGGTATAGAATCCAGAGATAGGGTTTTTCGCACTGAAGTTGCCGAGAGTGATTTCTTTCGTATCATCGGGAACGAAAAAGCGGCCAGTGAGGTAGCCGCCAGCAAGAGGGCAGTACGAAGCGTATCTGATGTTAAACTTGCGGAGGCACGGGAACAACTCGTCTTCTGCAAGGCGGTCGACGATATTATACGGACCCTCGTAGACCGTCGGCATCACGAATCCACGACTTTCGCAGATCCCAACGATGTCTGCCACTTCCCACGCCGCGAAGTTGCTCAGGCCGAACTCTTGGCTTAAAAGGAGCCTTAGCACTGCAAAGTACGCAGCACTAGCAGAATATTCCTGGACTCACAAGCCGCCAGACTTCCAGATTTCTGTCACCACTTCCAGAGTATCTTCAAAAGGTACGCTGTGGTCGGGGGCATGAAGGTAGAAGACTCGAATCTTCTTTCCATTCAGAGCGTTCAAGGAGGCGTCAAATAACTCCCCAAGCTTTTCCTGCGAATGATCACCCGGAGTAGTCGGAAAGATCTTCGTGTCGACGTGCAGGACGTTCCTCAAGTCGAGAGTGCCGATGAGCTGGAATATGACCAGGATAGCTGTGGCGTCAATGGACGAGACAGGTTCCGCATTGATATGTACTGACCTCTTCAGAAGTGCCTTTACAATACATACGGGCAGTGTCAACTCCGGAGTGCCCGTGTCGAATCATGATATCAACGAACTTTTGCATAACAGCAGTGTCGGAAACTCGTCCACCGGTGTCAGGAGTGCCGACGTGAGAGCTTCCCTGTAACACAGTCTCCTTATTATCAGTGCACTCAAACCATACTATCGGACTACTTGCCAGGAGGATAGGGATTCGCGTCATCTTGCTGAACTACGAGGGCAGATGAAAACGATGCTACGGACGGAGAACGATACAAGAAGAAGACCAACACCTCAATGTGCCACGTCACAGAGCTTCCACGGCTGGTACCAAGCTCAGCAGAATTCAGACTCCGAACGCCGCGCGTCGGCTAGCTCGATTTGTCGTTCATGATGTGGGTTATACATATGATCTCTTCGTCCGGCTATAGAGAATGAGACAAGTTCATCTTTCATACCATGGAACAATACGTCACCATAAAAGCACCTAGAAAAACCGCAGTAACCAAGCTAACGTCTACTAAAATTGCCTTTGATATGAAAATTATCGAACGGTTTACGCAACGAGCTTACCAAACCAATCTTCATTTCTTCCACTTTCATAGCGACGGTATCCCATGTCAGCAGGCTGCAGCCGACTCAGCACATATTCTGCGAGTGGTATACCGTGCCCGGATTGTGCTCTTATTCTTATTCTAGATGCGGCACATGTAGTGGATTGAAAGCTGACGTGCGCAATGAGGCGAGGACAGAGCAGTCAAGCGCCCTCCCGACATGCACCAAACCCGGGAAGAGGCGCATCACATATCCCTCACTCAGATAGGAAGTAGGGCGCCAAAAGCGTCCCGATTTGGCAGACGCCCCCGAGTCGTCAACACTCAGCAAATACCTCCCAAGGCCAGCATTCCTCAAGGTGAGCCTCCACTATGACTGTTCGGTGCTGCAGAAATGCTACAGAGACGTCCTGAGAGTGGATGGGAGTTGTTTGACGGCAGAAGAAGGGTGGATTGCGCGCGGACAAGGTGGATGCGGCAGGCTAGCGGTGGGTGAGGTGCAGGAAACTTGCGAGGGAAAGGCAGGTGGCTTCAGTGGATGACCTGCGGGACGGCAATGTTTCAGACGCTGTGGAGGGTTGAAGATATACATTTGGAACGCGCACATAAAGAGAACTGCTTCTAGTGTCCCTCTCGAAGGATTATTCCAATTGCCGTGCATTCTGCGACCGCCGAACTCCTTGGACGCAGTGCTAATTGATCATCGCCTTAGACAAAATGGCCAGCTCAAAGACCCAGAAGGCCAAGGGCTCAGCGCCCAAGGGTGCGCTATTACTTCGCTTCTCAATTTTGCAAACGCACTGAAGTTTTGTGCTGCAGCCTCCGCGCAGAATGCCAAGGCCAAGGCCGCGAAGAAGGCCGCTCTTGCGGGCACCAACTCCCAGGCGCACCGCAAAAAGCGCACGTCTGTCTCCTTCCACCGCCCCAAAACACTTCGCCTTCCCCGTAACCCTAAGTATCCTCGCAAGTCTATTCCCCATGTGCCGCGGATGGACCAGTTCAGGACGATTGTCTCGTACGTGGCCTTTGATGCGAGCAAGCGAAGGATATATCAATCATGACTATAGACCACTGAACACTGAGTCCGCGATGAAGAAGATCGAGGAGCACAACACCCTCGTTTTCATCGTTGACATTCAGGCCAATAAGCGTCAAATCAAGGACGCTGTCAAGAAGTTGTACGATGTTCAGGCCGCCAAAGTTAACACCCTTATTCGGTAAGTTTGCATGCGACGGTGAAAGAGTACTTCTGGTAGCTAAGGCCCGGATAGACCGGATGGCAAGAAGAAGGCGTATGTGCGGCTGACGGCCGACCATGATGCACTTGATGTTGCGAACAAGGTCAGCTCTATACTTGGTTATTAGATCTGAACTTGGACTAATATTGTATCTTTCCACAGATTGGTTTCATCTAAACCGCTTGCTCTTCATTCTGGGAAGGCCTCCTTCTCTCTGGGTCTATTCTCATGCTGTCTGCTTCCCACTGCGCCATATCTCATGCCTTGTGCCCTGTATATTTCTTCCCATGCAATTAAATATGCTACCGGTGGGATGTATATATACGAGGGTGCGAATGCGAGTAGATCCGGATGGTAGACGCAATGTCGATGGCTCCGTAGCTTGCACAGGTTCTATGCGATTCATCACATTTGATAGATTTTTTTTCTTCAGGCGAGTTCGAAGCTGTGCCACAGTGATGGATTTCGCTCGTCGTAGCAGACAGCCCATTGCCCTCTGTTCGCTCTCGCAGACGAAGATTTTCAGCTGATTTGACTTTTTTAGATGCAGAGGCAACGACGCAGTCTGTTGCCATCTCGTGGTGTGAAAGTGTTGAGCAGCTGCGGTCAGCGGACCGAGAAAGGTCTGGACGTCCAACTTTGATGGGTCCAAAACAGAAACAAACGCGGGGCGTTGCTGCCCTCGCGCTTGTTTCACCTTTCGACTCCCTTCACCTCCCCCTCGAAATAATTTATTCCTGGGTCTACTTCTACCGACGCTCTGCCCACCATAGCAGCACCACGCTCTTTCGACTTCTGGCGGACCATACAGCAGCGTCTCGCCGTCCTCGCTTTGCAGCAATAATCCTCTCCACCCCACTGGTTACCACCAAACAACCAACATCGTCTCGCTCTAGCACCTCTACAGCCTTTTCAGGCTTTCTCTCGCCTCTCCATGCCAACTGCTTTTCGCAAGTTTTGTCTTGCTCTCTTCATCTGTATTCTCCTCCAGCTCTCCTTCTCCGCCCCGGTCGACGCTGCCCACGGATCCTCAGCTTCTTCCCATGCCAGACGCTCTCTCGCTTCCAAAAAACGCCCCGCCCTAGGGAGGTCCGAGGACTCCGTCGTCCGTGGTGGGGTACGAAAGGTCGTGAGGGACGGAGTGCTCGGTGATCTAGTCGGTGAGTGTCTTGCATCTTGGCCGAGTGCGCTTGGCGTCCGGGTCTCTAGGCACACGATGACGGCGACGAGCCCATGCGGCACTCTGACGCGTCGTGGCAAGACGAATTTGCTGCTCCTCTGAAGATAACCTTTGCTGGTGGCACGTCGATAGGTGCAGTTGCCGTCTATACTCGCTTTCGCGAGGAGAGCATCATAGAGCAGCGGACGCGCTCGGAGTGTATCTTGCATTATCGCTTGTCTACTACTTGGCTTTCACTGACGAATGTTTTGTGTGATCATCAGATGGTGTTGGCAATGGCTTGGGTCAAGGAGTGACGGATGTGGGTGACGGTCTGGATCAAGGACTGCAAGGTTTGGGCGATTCACTGGGTTTGGGCACGACTGCATTGGTCCCCGCAAGTTCCACGTCTCTGAATTCTGCCGTGATCCCCACGGACTCCGTATCTGCCATCGACTCCGTATCCGCCACCAACTCCGCATCTGCCACCGGCTCGGGTTCCGCTACGTTGACCGATACCAGCCCTTCGACCGCGTCGAGCACGGATTCCGTATCTGCGCCGAGCACAGATTCTGTGTCCACGTCTGCGACGCCGACTGACTCTGCGAGTCCCAGCGCGACCGCCACGGACTCCGCGTCTCCCTCAGACGCGTCTGCTGCATCCAGTGGATCTGCATCGCCCACACCATCGGATAGTGCGACTTCGGCTGTATCTTCGGACAGTGCGACTTCGACTGTATCCTCGGACTCAGCAACTACAACGGATAGCCCAGCTGCGTCTGGTACGGACAACATATCGTCTACCGCGCCTCCTGTCACCGCGACACCACCTTCGGATCCTCTTTCCGGCATCGGGAACGGTCTGTCCTCGCTGGGCAGTGGCCTCGGTAACGGCCTGACATCCGTTGTCGGCGGTGTTACTTCTGCTCTTGGAGACCTCACTTCGACGCCTGCGCCGAGCACCCCATCCACGACCGATAGTAGTGCAGCGACGTCCTCACCCACAGATACTGCTGCTTCGTCAGTTACGGACAGTTCCGCTTCGCCGCCCACAGATAGCTCCACTTCGCCCTCTACGGTCAGCGCTGCTTCGTCTCCCGCGGACAGTACTGCTCCGTCGCCTACGGATACTGCTACGCCTACGGACAGCTCTGTTGTGTCACCTTTGCCCACGGACACGCCTACGTCGCCCGCACCTTCTCCCACGGATACCGCGTCATCTACACCGACAGACTCATCCGTCCCAGCAGCAACCACAACCCCACCCGCAAACCCCCTGACGAGCATTGTTGGTGGCCTAACCTCGGTCGTGGGGGGAGTCACTTCAGATTTGAGCTCCGTGGTTAGCGCAGTTACATCTGATGTTGGCCAGGCCGCGTCAACATTGACTTCTGATGTCGGCTCGATTGTTTCGACTGTTACTTCTGATGTCGGTTCTATCGTCACCAGCGCAGCGTCTGCGATCACCAGTGCCGTTAACACCCCGCCCCCGACGTCTTCTCCGACCGACGTGTCGAGCGTACCCACAGGGGCACCTTCGTCAACGCCTACGGATGCATCCACGAGCTCCGCCGTCGACACTCCGAGTGGTATCCCGACCTCCGCAGATGGCATATCTGCGAGCTCCCCGAGTGAAGCATCGAGCGGAACTCCGACCTCCGCGACTGATACAGCTACGCTTTCGCCTTCGAATCCGTTGTCGATACCCCCCATCATCCCAACATCGATCGCTCTCAGCTCGATTATCCCGACGTTGATTCCGTCAATCTTACCAAGTTCTATCCTGTCGATTCCGCCAATCTTACCAAGTTCTATCCTGTCGATTCCGCCAATCTTACCAAGCTCTACCTTGTCGATCCCACTCTTCCCAAGCTCTGTATTATCGAGCGGCGCCAGTGCACCGACGTCTAACCCGGCTTCGGCGGCGGCGCAGCCCACCTCAGTGAGCGGCTCCCTAACGAGCGTTGACAGCTCTGGTTCGGCTACTGCGTCTAGTGTCTCATTCACGGGGATTTCCCTTCCAAGTATCAGTTTGCCCACTAGCGGACTTTCGTCGATCCTGTCCTCCATTCTCTCAGGCACGGGGACCAGCACTACCGTTTCTGGCACCGTCACGTCGTTACCCTCTGGTGTTTCATCCTCAGTGTCCGGAGTGACGTCCGGTATCGCCTCTAGTGCGTCTGGTGTGATAACCTCTGCGTCGGGCAACACCTCGTCAGGGAGTATATCTGCCGCCGGAACATCGTCTAGTGCATCTGTTGCGTCGGGTAATACCTCATCCGGGAGCACATCTGCCACCGGAACGTCATCTAGTGCATCTAGTGCGATCACCTCTTCGGTGAACGGGTCTGTGACCGCAACCATTTCCGGCGTCTCGTCAGCTGCTTCATCCAGAACCTCCTTGTCCGGCAGCTCATCCGCATCTAGTAGCCGTTTCCAAAGCGCATCGTCCTCGGTCGTGATAACCTTCCCTTCGAGCATCGTTAGCAGCGCCTCCGACTCATTCACCTCTCTCTCCACGGTCAGCTCGACGAGCTCAGCGCCCGCGGAAACGCTTTCGGTTCCCTCGCAATTCAGCGGTATCCTGACCCAATCCTCGCTCATCCTGGACACAACATCGATAAGTTCTTCCAGCCGCACCTCCACAACGCGGAGCAATCCCGATCAGCCCATGACGTCAGTGTCGACCTCGAGCGTTGCGCCGACGGCGAGTCCAAGTCAAGCCGCCCTCCCAGCAAATCTGCCCTCACTTATTTACCCGCCCGGTGGCCCTGGCACGAATCCTGGTCCCGGTTTCACGCTTATTTCGCTGTTGTTCGACGAGGAACTGCCCTGGAATCTTGTTGCGACGAGCTCCGACTCAGCGACTCAAATATTTGCGTGGACACCGCTCATCCTTGCTGCGGGTCTCAATGTCAGTGGTAAGTATCGAGGACCCCGTGTACCATGTACAGCTACTCACGATAAACGTAGAGAGTCAAGTCCTGACATATGCCCTGCAAGTATATGTGCCAAGTAGCTACCAGAGCACTCAGGATGCTGACGAGCTTGGGACGATCTTCCTTGCGTACATCCCCACTGGCCAAGTCGACACGCTGGCACAACAGCTCCTCGTCAAGACATCGGCACTCTACAACGCACTTGGCCCTCCGTATAACACACTGGCTGCCCACTTCGTCGCAACGTTCCCTGTTGGCTCTACCCCGCCGTCGGACTCTACTAATCCGCAGAGCAACAACGACACTTCGAGCGGCTCATCGGGTGCATCGAACTCGAGCAAGACCCGTGAAGACGCAATCATCGGCGTCGTGAGCTCGCTTGGCGCGATCACTCTCATCGTGCTTGCGTTCCTCGGTGTGCGCGCTGTGAAGCAACGGCGTGCGCTCGCGCACCGTCGCCTGGCCGAGCCGAGTGGCGAGGCGGAGAACGAGTACGCCGGAGCGCGCCCTGAGGGCCAGGAGTTTGATCGCGACAGCGTTGGAGGCCAACGTCGGCGCAGCTTCTACTACGCCGAGGACTCGCTCCGTGTGCACGAGGTGAGCGAGCAGGTGATGCGGGAACGCAGGCCAGTGAACGCAGAGATGATTGGCGCGCCGGTGCTGCGTGACAACACGATGGACTGGTAGTCTGCCTTTGCTGCTCTCTCCGACTGGGCCTTTTCATGACCAACGACGGGACGCGTTCACGATATCGCTCACGCCTTCTCTTTCCCCTTCTCAAGCCCCTCCGCCTTGCTTCGCTGAACCTTTCGCATCAGTTTTCTTTCGCTTCTTGCTAGAGACATCTCGTCTCTTGATATCTCTTTGAAACTCTGGCTTATCAAGGTTGTTGTCTAAATTTCACTTTCGTCTGATTGTCGTTCGGGAAACTGTATTTATCGGTAGGTAGGTAGGCGGTGCGGCATAGTCAGGCGGGGTACCTACCTTGGTGACACGCCGTGCTGTGTTGGACGATCTAGAGGCGCACAATGTATCGTTTCGGTCCCTATCGGACGCCATACTCGCCTCTGTAGACCCTGCTACCCTGCCGTATTCCTCACATCTTCTCCCAGACTTGATCCTTGATTCCTCTTTTTTCGCTTTCCACGCTGGAGCGAGGACGATACCCATGTTGCAAACTGCTTTTGTTTTCTGCTCTCATCGGGCACTTCTATACGCGTATTATTAATGTTGCCGAGTGATACCTTTGTGTGTGTTGCATGCACAAGCCGTATATTTCCTCTTTGTGCTGTGGTACTTGTAATGAAACAGGTTCCGGCATGCAAATGAATGTTGGTGCGACTTACTTTGCAAGCTCTTCCAGCCCGTTAGAAATCGCACAGGATTCTTGCGTGAATCGGATCCCAGTTTCAGTATATATGTCAAGTATCCTTAGTCACGCCCTGTCATTTTGCCCACTCGTCTGCCCGCTTGACTTGCTGTCGGCTAATAGCAAGGCTGACGTCAGCTGTTCGATCTCTCTTCGCTCCCCAGAGCGCATATATAATGAGTAGTGTGTGAGCAACCTTTGCCTCTCGCCCTCATCCCTCCCCATCCTCCACGTCTCCTTTCAGCCACAGCACTCATGTGAAGCAGCAAAAGTATACAGCGAGTCCCACATTTTTTCATCGTGCTAACCACATCTATTTCCTAACAGCGCAACGAGTCTAGGCTCACCAACATGATCGTACGCGTTCTTCCGAGGTTTCATGGGAAGTCACTCCCATATATGCGTGTCAAAGCTCTAGCCTTTTCCCGTACTGAACGCTATATGGTATTCTGCACGCAGCAGGTGCTGCAGCGGGCGCAGGTTCACGGGGTCCAGGACTCCAGGGCCGAGCTGCTCGCACGTGTTTTGCATGGGGATTGACGTCACGCGTGGCCTCAAGATCGAGATGCTCCAGGCTTTCGAGTATTTAGGCCAGCCAAGACCGTCATCGACGACTCAGATAACGACACCCATCCTCTTCCACGACGAGCCCATTTTACGACAATGTCCACCATCACCCACGAGGTTCGCGTCTCGGGTATCGCTCCCCAGACGACAGAGAACCATCTAAATGAGTTCTTCTCGTATGTCGTTTAACCCTAATTATACCAGTAAATGCGCTAACGGTGTACCGCAGATTTTGTGGGACGATTGCCAGGATCGACTTCAACCCAGACAACAAGTCTGCCTTCATTCACTTCCAGAAGCCCTCCGCAGCGAAGACGGCGCTGATGCTGAACGGGGGCACGCTTGATGGCGCTACCCTCACGGTCACCTCCGCTGTCGAGCACCAGGACCAGGAAGAAGCGCATAACGACGGACCAATCGACCAGACAGACAAGCCCCGCGCTGGCATCGCTGCAGAATATCTCGCTAGGGGCTACACGCTTAGTGACCATGTCCTCCAGCGCGCGATCGAGCTCGACAACCAGCGCGGAATCAGCAAACGATTCCTAAGCTACATCCAGGGCCTCGATACCACCCTTGGCGAGAAGGCGCTCGGCCCTCAGAAGACGATCAGCGGCAAGGTACAGGAGGCCCTTGTGCAAGCGCAGGAGCAGGCGAGGACGATCGACCAGCAAAAGGGGATCAGCTCCAAGGCAACAGACGTGCGTCCTACCCTGATTAGTCTCTATATCTCAGTCTGACGTGGCGACTTCTGCAGTATTACTCCCGCGCGTTGGCATCGCCATGGGGCCAGAAGGTCAAGGCCTTCTATACCACGACGTCGAAGCAGGTCCTCGATGTCCACGAAGAGGCTCGACGCATTGCGTCCCAACAGCCTAGTGCGCACAGCGGCACATCTCACCCGGACACTGGCATTTCGACCGGCGTCGGTTCTGCTGCCCCACCGCTTGATCACACCGCCCATAGCACTACCGCACCGCTCATTCCTAGTGAAGGCGTGGAGGTACCACCGACCGGGGGCAAGACAGCTGAAGCTCCTATTGTCCCTTGAAGGACAGATTGATGAACGGGCTTAACAAAGTGTATTATACTGATATGGATAGGAGAATATTGTTTGTTATTAGCCATTATTCACGAAGTAGCAGAACAACCCTATGTATCTCGACCGCAAAGATCCGCAATACACTGAGCGCAAGGGCAAGCAAGACACCGTCTACGCTCGAAGAGGAGCTGTGCATAAATGTTCCGCTGTAAAGATATACTTCGTCGTGCAAGCGGGGAAGCATCAGTGAACGTAGCCATGATTGGGGATACCACAACGTTTTGTGTCTACATCAACACTTCGCCGAGCTGCCGAAGCCAGGTTCGCCTCCGCTCGACTTCAGTTCATGTTCAGCGCCAGAGGGCTTGCCTCGGTCAGGTTTCACGTTCTTGCTGAACCATGTCAACTATACCGTCTACCATCCCCAACGCTCGTTAACGAGACGGAGAGCAGTCGCCCTTGGGTTCCGGGAATAGTTCGTAAAATCTGCGTTGCTCGCTGAAGATAAGCTCGTTTATGAAGAGAATGCCCAGGGAAATTGACGTGCGCATCGCACGTGACGTCTCCGTCAAATCCCGGACGACGGATCAAACTGTCGCGCCGCTACTCTACGCCCCCTCGAGTCACGACTCGCCTGCAAGTGAATCGTGCACGATCACGATCACCTCACACACCTTTGTCAGAAGTCGAACGCCGGGGTTAGAGCAAGACCAACCCGGCGCGTGGGGGATAGCCAATATCTTTGAGGCTTGATCTCGAAATTCGCCAAAATCAAAACCAAGTTCAGCTCGTGTTTCAGTGCTGTTCAGGTCCAGTTCAATTTCTGGAACGTGCCACTACTTCACGGCACTCGCACCGTCCGGTGTACAATACAGCGTTCTATACCTCATGTAGACAACCGTCGTGCTCGGCTGTAGCGTGGAACAATCTCGTTGCGATTAAAACCCTCGGTCACTCACGTCCCGAGTTTGCAGGTATGTCGTTTATTACTACAGTATGCTTCTAATTCCGCAAAGACTATCCATGTATCGAACGACATGGACTCCAGCGAAGCAGCGTGTGGTACTCACTCTTGTCTTGGAACACTAGCCAGCTTTCTGTCTTCACGTGAACTGGCGGCATGTATCCGCTTTTTTTTCACCTCTCGACTTCTTCTGGTTGTCAAAAGCCCTTCATCTTCGCGTCAACAGCCATGCCTCGACCTTGGCCCAATCAACGATATCGATGCGCTCGACACGCCCCATCTCCTGGCTGCCCTGGGTGCACCGCTGAATAGCGAATCCGCATCTGGCGAGCCAGTGTCCCGTTCTTCCGGCTGTCGATGCGCCGTCTCTGATTCCTAGCATTTTTATGCCCGCTCCGAGTCCGACCACCGTTACCCACTTTCCGCATTGAAATTCAGGGGCAGCTTGTCGGGGATCGTGGTGATGCAGGGGTACCTGTACCTTCGCGTGTACGGAGAGGCCATCATGCGCTTTAAGCTCGCGGTGGGTCCCGGCTACTCCGCCACTGGCTTTTTTCCTGCCTTCTGTCGATTGACCCATTTTGGCAGTTCACCGAGTTATGATGCTCAGGCCTGAGTCCGACCGTGTGGTGTCTGCGATCGGATTGGCTCTCGATCTTCTGTACGACTTCACGGTCCGTCTCACGACATGGACTTGCGCAGTTGAGCATTTGGGAGTCCTGGGGAAGCTAGTAATACATGCTGGTGCGTCAGAATGTGTATCGGATGAGATGCCCCTCCCTCTGTTACAGGAGCGTAGCATTCTATATTGCTATTACAGCGAGTCTGTGTAGCAGAGAATGTGACTTGATATCAACCTAGTGAGGCGGCATTTATTACGCTCATTGTACGTCTGTAAGTATATGTCTTATTCTAAGGCCTACCACAAGTATTGATCATCCGTGCACATTCTCTTCGCACAGCGTCTGTACACAAGCGCATCCCTTTTGCGAAGGCTTTCATCGAAGTGCTGACGGGCCAGATAGCCAGTAAGAAAACTTATTTTGAATGATACCTACGAATATCCTGGCTGTCTTCTGTGTTGAGGAGCTGTTTATCCTCTTTACCTACTCGTGTTCGCATGCATGCTAGCCATTGCACTCGGTACGTCTTCCACAACCCAACACTCATTATCCTTGGCACTGACAGGGCTTCTGTTGAGGCACAGCTGCCAAGATAATCCAGCTGAAGTCATCATCCGTGTTCGACGCTCTTGGTGCGTACGCAGTGAGTTAATTACAGAACTTAGTATCTCGGCAGTGGTTGACGTACTATCGCTTGCGGCTTGTCATACTATCTCTGGAAGAATATACCTAGGTTTTAGCGTGCGTACCGTCTGACTTACCCTCGTGTGGCTATCGCGATTGTGATTATAATTGTGCGTTTACTACAGGCTTGCACTTCGCCATCTTCAAGCATAAATACTCCTAGCTCCTTTCAGCAGTCAATCGCTGATCCTCACTACTCCACGCTAGTTCTTTTCTTCCGGGGTGAGCTCTTCGCGCTCTCGTTTGAGAATCGGTGTTGGCCAATACTTAGTACCCAGTGCTTATTCGACTGTCGCAACCAAATCTCCCGTGAATACTTGATGACCCGTTCCTAAACTTCGTCAGACAAAGCAGGCAGTGATCACGCGATCACGTACTATTTATCTTCTTTCCCAGCCGCAGCAGGCCCCGTTTTACATCAGTGCGTCCCCAGTTTTTGCCGTCAGAAATATCTGGGTTGATAATTCTAACCACTCCTACAACTGCGCGACGAAGTTCATCTGCTCCGATTTATGTCGGAATACTGACACTCACGCGCGTGGCCCATTGCAAGTCGAGATCGATATTCAGAACTTAGAACACAATCTGCCAAGAAATTGATGGCCAGTCGGTCGGGATCTGGCCTGACAACGGCTCTCAGTAACACTTGATGGATCTCAGGACCTCGCCGCGGCCGGAAGTCTCTGTTCCACAGCGACGCTTCGAGCTACTTTCGAGCAGTTTCGAGCTTCGCTCCCCCGCTCTCCACTCGGCTGTGCTGCTTCTGATTTCTCTATCAGAGGGTAAGAGAGGGCTTGTGTGCCACCACGCTCGTTTTATGTCCGTTTACGCCCTTGTTGCCATGTTCCAGCTCCACTGTCTTTGATGACGGGACCATGATCACTTGCCTACCACACCTCCGAGCGGTGCTTTTAACGCATGAATACACACTGTCGATTATCCCTTGTGACCGCCATATGCCGCATGCTAGGGTGCGAATGCGTCATGCAGGCTAATAGTAGTGCTCTGATGTCTCCAGTGAGCGTCGGTCGGTGTAGGTCCTTCAATCCCATTTCCAAGGCTGATACGCTTCCTGCTGTCAGAACGACTGTGCCCAAAGCGCCGAGATAGCCGTCAAGGCCAGCCATACGCGCCAGGAACAGATGCGACATTTGAATCGGGTGGTAAACTGCGCATGCACGTCGTACCCGGCACCTTGTAGCTCGCGTTAAAAGTTCCGCGGACATAAGTTATCCTCGGCGATCGAGCGCTCGCTTCCAGCGACACTAAACGCCTGGAGATCCTCGTGGCATGCACTCATATACTGTAAGGCTTGCTCAATATAGCGCTCAATTCTCGCAACTTGGATTGGATCGGCTTCACCTCACTTGTCTCACTCGAATGACGAGTTATCGATTATCCTGCAGAGCCGTGACGCATGTGATCGCTGGGTTCTAGAAGGTCGGGGAAGTGTCGGGCCCCGCCCGCCCTTACGAGTTGCCAGGTAACTGAGGTAAGTAATGGCAGACAAGCTAGCCTAAGAATATCTTATCTAAACTCACCGCAGGAGCCCTATGTAGTTAATGCTACCGGATAGACAATAATGGCTATTTGCACGGTTAAATAGGCTTCTTGACTGAGGAAACGGCGTGTTGAGCGAGGCGGGAGGCGGCACACTTAGAACTCAGCACTCAGCGCTCAGCCATCACACTCGTCACCCGAGTGAGACAAGTGAGGTGAAGCCGACCCAACCCAAGCCGCAAGAATTGAGCACGCCTTCCAGAGGAATGCAAAACGCTGCTCACACAGGGTGGTAATTGCAGTGTCAGGGATACAGTTTTGCCACAGGAAAAACAGAGAGATAAAGGTGACGTACCGAGAACACACGGGGGTGTTTCAGACGCATGCTTCCGTAACCTAGCTTGAGCCTAGTCCAGGCTAAAGTCTCTCCGGCGGGGAAGCGAGATCTCATCCACCTGGTCGAAGCGCGTTGCAGCATCATTCCTCAGGTGCACAGGGATCGGGGATCCACCCATTAATATAAGCTAGTAATGTGAGTCACTTTCGCGATTCTGTACTCACAGAACGCCATGCACCTTGCCCTGCACCACTAAGGGACATAGCAGAGTACACCACGAGCTATCCATATATTCGCATTTCTCCATCCCCCCAGTCGTCTTGTCCGCAGTGGATACGGAGAATAGGTCATTTTTCTCTGCTGATTCAGTCCGTCGCCGGCATTGCACTCGCCTAGAAGAAATCCACCATGACGGAGGGTCACATTGAGACTACGTTTGGAGCTATCGCGTTAGGAGGGCTGGTCTGTTTATTGTGAGTCACGCAATTACAGGGCACAAACGTCTTCGTTGACATAGCATAGCCTGTCGGGCACAGTGACTATGCAGGTGTACTTATATCTCAGTGTGTACAAGAAGGACCGTCCTTACATTAAGAGTATCGTAAGTGAAAACGTTGTAGTCATGCTCTACAGCCAGGTTTTATATGCCGTTTTTAGGTGTTGCTCGTCTGGTGGGCGTAAAGATCTAGTGCCCTTCTTCGTCTATTGACCCCTGTGTCACTTAGGTGCATAGATTTTGCGCACACAATCATGGTATGTATCGCAAACTGGACGTACCTCATCAGTAACTTTGGGGACGCGAATGCCACGGACCACATTACCTGGTGCGTAGTACACAGCCCTCAAGACGAGAGCTTTAATGACAGCCCCGTGTAGGAGCATCGGGGCGACTGTTGCATTGACGGTCAGTCCTGCGGTGGAAGGGATAACCTGCCACGCCGAGTTGCTAACCGTGCAATTAGGCCATTGTGACATTCATAGTACAGAGGTGGGCCTGACAGTTTGCGTATCATATTCACGACCGTTAACAGAATATAGCTTCTTCACGCACAAGATATACGTTGGTTCGTCTCTATTGACCTTCTTGTTCAGCGAATAGCGCTGAAAACAGTACTAGTGAGCAAGGGCAACTACCTCCTCACTTCCTCTTTGGTGCGTCGCACTTCCTGATATAGACAGCATCCGAACTCACTGTTCTCGCTGTCTATTAGGGAACGGTTGCCCTTTTTCGTGTCGGTGAGCATAAATTTACCGCGGTATGGTTCCAGAGGTGCGGCTGATTCAGGATGTTCTATTTTAGTCGCGGCTCTAGGTGTGTAATCCGTTGCCATGGTTCAAGGCCTGCGCACTGACGCTTCTGCTGCCGCTCAGTGTCCACATCTGAAATGTACGCTTCTAGTCTTTCTTTTGATCCTTGCCCATATGCTGACGGTGGTCACAGGATCAGACTCCAGAGCTATGCGGCGTTCGTCAAAGACTACGGCGTCAGTACATATCCCCTTTCATAAATCTCATATCTTATTGTCATGCATACAGTATGTCTTCACCATGGGTCTGGGCTCCGCTGTCGCTATAGATCTCTTTATAACGCTGGGTCTTTGCTACTATCTGCGCCAGAGCAAGACCGGCTTTGCTAAGTGCGCCCTATTCGTCCGCTCGTACAATGGGTGCTACGCGCTAATTGGCTGACACTTTATCCTCATGTGCTGTCCCGACAGCATGAACGATGTCCTCGATTCGCTGGTTTTGTATACAGTAGAGACCGGGCTGGCGACTTGGTAAGCATGTTCGCTCAACGAACTGTCGAGGAAATAACTCACGGTGTTTCGAAGCGTTACAACAATCATCTCCCTCGTCTGCGTGAGTGTAGATGTTTTACGGACGCTTTACGGGAAATATTTAAGGCGGCCTCCGACAGTGGGTTACGATGACCCATAACCTTATTTTTCTTGGTTTACACTTTACGATTAGCAAGCGTGAGTCACATTATTCGCTAGCAAGTGATGGTTTCTAAACATGGGTTCAGTATATGCCAACTCGCTAATGGCAACGTACGTCCAAAGGCCATACGAAAGGCCCTTCTAATCTTAGACTATGTTTTGGCAGGTTAAATTCTCGTGCCCAGCTTCGCGCTCGCTCGCACTCCACGTCCAGCACTGATGGTCATGAACTCTCACTACCCGTGGTGACTCGTAACGCAAGATCTGCGGTGAGTCAGTTCAAATGTAGAGTCCAGATCCTTTCCGCTAAACCCGTATCTCCAACCGCACCAGGCTCGCGGGAGTGTACGAATTGACCCGCCATCGACGCGCACGGTTGAAATCAACGTGCAGACGACGGTTCACCGCGAGGTCGACAGCAAGCAGGCGACGGAAGTGGACCTCAAGGTGTACGGCAAGCGCTCAGGCCCTGAGAAAGGCATTGATGACCGTTCGTCTAGCGATATGCAGAGCGACCGGGACAAGGAATTCCTCGGCAGCATGTGAGCTTGTAAAACCATCTCATCCCGCATTGGCCCTGTTTGCGCCCCCACGACACCCTACCTGCGGCATCCACAGCAGCAGCAGAACCGGCTGCGCGCGCAACGCCTCTCAGATGATCTGATCTGCCCCCTCCCCCCTCGCAAGACAACCACGACGCTCCAAAACTTACGTTCTTTACTTCCAGAGTTGTAAATATGCTTCATACTCGCTACCTTAAATCCTTACAGTCGTACTCTTGTTCGAATTCCACTCGTTTTGATATCTTTCATGCGCATGCGCTATTGAAGGACATCCCGACCCGGAGGCGGCGCGCACGCGATTATGACTGGAATTGACGCATTTATTGGCCTGACTAGTCTGTTCGTAGCAGCCTACACTGTTAAGTACCAATTTCACTTTGGTGACGATCTTGATGTGAGGCGTGATAGCACAGAAGAATTAGACATGCTACACATCAAGTACTTCGAACATCTAGTAACTATCATATTACATGTGCGGAGTCCGCGCGAACGTCCGCGCAAATAATTGTAAAGGGTAATCAGGAGTAGAGGAAACGAGACTGTGCTAGAGCGAGCTCCAGAAGGGGAGAACAAGCTTAAAAAATCGGGACCAAAGGGGCAGTTTTGTCGATATCTCGATACCGCCGAAGGCATACGACGTTGGGGTGTAGGGCTTGTCGTGCAGAGAAGACGGGGAAGGCTCAGCACTGGTGCCGTCCTCGTCACTCGCGGGCTCGTCGTCAACAGAGAAAGTCGACGAGCAATAATCATACCCATGTTTCTCGAGGTCGAGATCATACCCATCATCTGATCCCACTAAAGTGGCGAAGTCGTCATCGACGACTATGCTCGAACAGCCCTCTGACGCGTCCTTGTCGGCGTCCTCCTCGCCTTCCCACGATGCTGCTTGCTCTTTGCCCTCCGGAAATGCCAAGATAGAGTTATCGACAATCGTATCCGCGGAGGTGTCCAAGAATATGTGACACTCCTGGCTATGGGAGCGCTTGCTGCTTCTTCGCATGTTCTGAGTGGCGAAGACCACGGAGCAGGGGGTGCGCGTGTCAACCGACCGCTTGCGTGAGGGAGACGTTTGGTTGGGATGCAAGGGAGACAGTGAGTCGTTTGCGCACGATGATCCCGGGGATCTGGGCGAAGTAGGAGTATGTAGCGAGGATGGTGGGGACGGTAGGTCGCTTGTGTTGTGGGCAAGAGGTGGCAGATGCATGTTAATGCTTAAGAGGCGGTTCTCATGTGTCAGACAGGGGCACCCAAGGAATTCTGCGGTGATGTCGTTTGGAACAGATTGGCACATGAGCCAACGATGAAGAGGGGAGCACTGATCCCCCAATGCCTGCCCAGCCTCTACGTGGTCGTAGAGCCATGCCGCTTGTCGGGACCACTCGACAATGCCGATTACAATCGAAACACTTGTTTCTAGCAAGTCTAGCAGAGCGAGGGTATCTTCTGACTTCATGATGAAGGACGGGGCCTGTTCGGACGGTGAGGCTCGCATGCGCTCACGTTGTATAGACACAACCACGACCTTTGTTGCAGCGGATATAAGTCATCTGAACGCATGCAGAACCGCAGCGCCGCGTACTAGTTTGACCAACCATTCAAAAACGTCACGTTCAATCCAGTCGAGGATGGTGTATAGGTGCATTTCGATCTTGAAAACTAGTTCTTCTAGAATTCTGAAACTCGAGCGAAAGCGATGTAATTGATCGAGACAAAGCGGTCGTGGTACAATATCCCATGATTCTAGGCATGTCAGGTCGGCGCCATGGTCTCTCTTCCGAGTTTGGCCGGTGCTCACCTCGGTAAAGCTGCGCCTTCAAAACCTCGACATAGGCCTTTGCTGCACTACAAGGCTCGTAAACAGATGCATCGTGGAACGGATGCATGTCGGACAGTATATTGGTGGAGAAGGCGGCTCCTTCTTTCGTGGGCCCAAGCTCATTTTGTAGCGACGAGACAACAATGGAGAACTCGCCGGCAGGGTTCCCTAGCTTCATCACGCATCTACAATTGAGTTGCTAGCCTTTCACCGCACAGAGGGACCAGTGCCGAGATATTTGGCGAGAAGCTAGGTGCAAATTCGAGCCCCGCGTGCGTTGCGACCTCGTTAACAATTAGTGGTCGGGGCTGTGTATAGATGAGCGCTCACTCTTCAGTGATGGCTCTCTCGCCATGCAGACTCGTTTCCCATATTTCAGCTCTTAGAAACATGACTCGACCACCGTATATAGATGCCAGTCGACTAAACGAGGGCAAGCTGGGGGGAGAGCATCGCAAGTCGCATACAGCCGCTGGCAAGATCATGACTGATGCGCCTGCTTCCCCATTTGGAATAGACTCGGGAGAGCGCTCCATGGAAACTCAAACGCACCCACCAACTTGCCATCTGTGAACACCTATGGACGACCAGCACCAGCCTCCGGACCAAGTCTTGCGGACTCCTGGCTGGGTGGGCTGCCCGTGATTTTACCCTCAGGAGTTTGGTTCAGTCGCCTGAAGGCTTACACACGAGTACGATACGTGCAGAATTACAGTAACAGCGACTTCGTCGGTCCAATCTACCACATTGACCGCGCAAGCTCGCATTCCCGATGGTATCGGCAATTCGAAGCGAGGTCCGAGAGCGCGATCCCGCCGAGGACCTGGTCGCTTCAGGCTACAATGACTCGACGTGGGTGTCTCCGCGGCTATTTTGCTCCTTCTAATGGAGTTTTTTGACGCTACCCGTCCCTGTCGCTTGTTTCATGGACGCCGGAACGCGCGTCCTGCCATTAACTCGGTCTTAGCGTTGACGTACGCGTGCACGATAACACTTCTGCTTATATTGAAAGCAAAAAGATCTTGTATCCCGACATCCGACGGGAACTTGGCCTCCTGGCGCAATTCGGTACCGAGGATGGCACTTGCGCTCAAGAGCCGGCGCCCCTGTCAGTAGGAAGAATATAAAGAATACCCTTCGCGATGGCAGAGATCAACAGCACTCGCGTTCTACTTTCATCTGCCGCACTGTCGTACTGCACTTCAGAATGTCTACTCGCGTTCCTTTGGTCCTTGTGAGTAGGCTACGCGTTTGAACGCCGCGAACCACAGCTAACGGTCCTACTTTCCAGGGAGCCGGCCAATTCGGCGCCGTTAACACTGGCGAACGAGTCTCTAATCCCGCCGTTGCACAAGAGCTTGTCGACCTTATGGTCAATCACGGCTATACCGGCATCGACACATCACGTGCTTACTGCGATGGCACCTCCGAGAAGGTAAACGGTTTGTGCTGCCGGACATGATCAGTTTAGCTGATGCTTGTACTGCCACATAGTTCCTGAGCGGTCTGGACCTCAAAGGAGTCGCACGTATTGATAGCAAGGTTTACTCTGTGAACCCTGGCGATCACTCTCCTGAGAAAGTGAAAGGGAGTTTCAAGGCGTCCGTTGAAGCCTTGAACGGCAAGAAGATCCGCGTGTATTACCTGCATATCCCTGACCGCAGTGTCCCCTTCGAGGACACACTCGAAGCGGTCAACGACATCTACAAAGCTGGTGGATTGTGAGTCCAACAAGGTCGCTCTGCACATCTGCTTCTAACTCTTGATTTTACTACGCGGCGTACAGCGAGGTTTTTGGCTTGAGCAACTACATGGCCTTCGAGGTAGCGGAGATCGTGGGAATCTGCAAGCTCCGTGGCTTTGTCATGCCCACCGTGTACCAGGGCGTCTACAACCTCATCGACCGGCTCACTGAAGACGAGCTCTTCCCGTGCCTGCGCAAGTTCAACATCAAGTTCGCGGCGTACACGCCTCTCGCAGGCGGCTACCTTACGGAGCGCTTCTTCATCCCTAATGCCGACAACAAAGACATCCCGTTGTCAAAGTTCGGCCCGGACTCCAAGTCCGCGTGGTTTTACACCGGCAGATACTATCCCGCAGCATCTGCTGTTGCAGAGCTGAAGGAGGTCTCACGCGCGCACGGCCTGACTCTCAACGAAGTTGCGCTGCGTTGGCTGCAGTGGCACAGCAAGTTACAACCAGAGGATCTTGGCGTCATCGTGGGTGCAAGCAAGAAAGAGCAGCTCCAGACTACTCTGGATGATAGGTGCGAGAACGTGGTCGCTCTGGTACTTGTACCGGGGTTGATATTGGTTTTATTTTAGCGCGAAGGGCCCTCTACCTGACGCCGTCGTCGAGGCCTGCGATGCCACTTGGAAGAAGGCGCGCGGCGCAATTGCGCAATACTGGATCTAAGTGAAACAGTGAGCCGTCAGGTGTCTGACCTCTCTCCATTGGCTAGAATATTCTTATCGTCATCGATAGACCCCGCTCAGCTATCGCACGGTGTTCTTGGTTGTTGTTTTCAGATAATTCTGAGTAAATATAGGCTACTTTCACCAATAACAGCAGAGTATCAATGTCGCAATTCCTAGAGTTGGACCGATCAGCGAACTGTCGAGATACTGGAATTTGGAATGCGAAATCCCTTATAAATAAATTCACTGGTGATCCAGCACTTCCAGTGCCATTTTAGGCATACGTGAGCACTGCAGGTTGCAAATTTTGTAGTACATCGACTTGCGGTAAACGTTTGTGCCCCCGCGACGCCCTGCACACAACCACAGCAGCAGTAGAACCGTCTGCGCGCGCAACGCTACAACGGTCTGCTGTCCCTGTCCCTGCGCCCCTCGCTCGACAGCCACGACGCTCCAAAACTTGTAGACTTGCTTCGTTTCGCTGCCTTAAATCCTTTCAACGGTCGTCTCAATCATGTTCGAACTTCATTCGTTTTGGTATCTTCTACGCACGCACGCCGCCGAAAGGGACCAGAGGCGGCGCGTGCACAGTTGCGTCTGGGGTCGACGCATTTACTGGCCTAAGCAGTCCATTCGTAGAGGCCTACATTGTTAAATACCAACTTCACTTTGGCGACGATCTTGGTAATCACAGTACTACATATGTGAAATCCGTGCCAACGTCCACGCGAATAATCGTAAAGGGTGATTAGGAGCGAGCCCCAGAACGACTTGAATACTCGGGACCAGAGGGGCAGTTTTGTCGGGGTCTCGATACCGCCGAAGGCATATGACGTTGTATTGTAGGGCTTGTCGTACAGAGAAGATGAGGAAGTCTCGGCGCCGGCACCATCCTCGTCGCTCGCGGGCTCGTCGTCAGCAGAGAAATTCGATGAGCAACGGTCATACTCATGCTTCTCGAGGTCGAGGTCATAGCCGTCATCCGAGCCCACCAAAGTGGCGAAGTCGTCATCGACGACTATACTCGAACAGCCCTCTAACGTGTCGCCATCCTCGCCGGCGTCCTCCTTAGTAGTGCTCGGGGCTGACAATATGAGTACTAGTGCATGGACGAGCGCTCACCCTTCAGGGATTGCGTTCTCGTCATGTAGACTCGCTTTCCCAGATCTATACCTTGGGAAATATGACTTGACCACCATATATAGATGCCAGTCGACTGAGCGAGGGCAAAGTAGCCGGTTGGCTGATGCGCCAATTTCCTCATTTGGCAGAGTATCGGGAGAGCGCTTAACGGTAGCCGGGAAACTCAACCGCAACCATCGTCTTGCTATTCCGATACTTCAGATTGAATGCTTCCGTACGTTTTATGCCATCCTCTTCTTTCCCGATGCTTAGCCTCGCGCAGAGGTTGTAACGCTTGTAGACGGCCGGGCAAGTCTTGGCTAGGCGACCTGTATGAATTTGCCCTCCGAGTCGGGGAGTCTGGCTTAAGGTCTATATGACATGTGCAGAGTTACTGTAATGGCGACTGCGTCATTGACCGTGCAAGCTCGCATTCCCGATGTAATCGGCAATTTGAAGCGAGGCCAGAGAGCACGATCCCGCCATGGACTTGGACGCTTTAGGCTACGATGACTCGACGTGAGTGTCTCCGCAGCTATTTCTCTCCTTCTATTGGATCCCCCCGACGCTACGCGTGCCTATCGGTTGTTCACGAAGCATGGAAGTCGAAGCATGCCTCTTGCGCATTCAATTAGTATTAGCATTGACGTGCGTGCGCGGTGGGAATGCTACCGATCGTCAACGCAAAAAGCTCTTATAATCCGGCAAGTTGCTGAAGTTTGCTCCAGGCTGGCGCTACTCGCTTACCTCCTTCAGATGCTGGCGGTACCGGGGCGACACTCGCACTCAAGAGCTGACGCCTTAATAGAAAGAGTATAAATGGTACCCGTTCGCGACAGCAGCAGTCAACAGCATTACCGTTCTACTTTTAACCGCAGAACCATCGTAATCCACTCGCTACAATGCCAACTCGCATTCCTCTGATCCTTGTGAGCAAGCTGTGCACATAGTCGCCGCGGACCACAACTGACAATCCTATTCTCTAGGGAGCCGGCCAATTCGGCGCCGCCAACACCAGTGAACGAGTCTCTGATCCTGTTGTCGCGCAAGAGTTCGTCGACCTTATGGTAAGTCACGGCTACGTCGGTGTCGACACATCACGTGTTTGTTGCGATGGTACCTCCGAGAAGGTACGTAGTTTGTCTTGCCGTACATAATCAGTTTATCTGAAGGCGCCTGTACCGCCACGTAGTTCCTGAGCGGTTGGATCTTAAAGGAGTCGCACGTATCGACACCAAGGTTTACCCCGAGAAGCCTGGCGACCACTCTGCCGAGAAGGTGAAAGAAAGTTTCAAGGCGTCCGTTGAAGCCTTGAACGGCAAGAAGATCCGCGTATACTATTTGCATAGCCCTGATCGCAGCGTTCCCTTCGAGGACACACTCGAAGCGATCAACGACATCTACAAAGCTGGTGGATTGTGAGTGCGACAAAGCCGCTCTACACATCTGCTCCTGACTTTTCATGTCGCTACGCGGCGCACAGCGAGGTGTTTGGCTTGAGCAACTACATGGCTTTCGAGGTAGCAGAGATCGTGGGCATCTGCAAGCTCCGTGGCTTCGTCATGCCCACCGTATACCAGGGTGTCTACAACCTCATCGACCGGCTCACTGAAGACGAGCTCTTCCCGTGCCTGCGCAAGTTCAACATCAAGTTCGCGGTGTACGCGGCACTCGCGGGTGGCTACCTCACCGATCGCTTCTTCGTCCCTGGACCCGACAACAAGGATATTCCGTTATCGAAGTTTGAACCAGACTCCAAGTACGCGTGGTTCTATACCAGCCGCTACTATCCTGCGGCATCTGCTGTTGCGGAGTTGAAGGAGGTTGCGCACGCGCACGGCCTGACGCTCAACGAAGTTGCGCTGCGTTGGCTACAGTGGCACAGCAAGCTGCAGCCAGAGGATCTCGGCGTCATCGTGGCTGCCAGCAGGAAAGAGCAGCTCCAGACTTCTCTGGATGATAGGTTGAGAACGTGGTCGCTCTCATATTTGCGCCTACTGATATAAATGTCCTGTAGCGCGAAGGGTTCTCTGCCTGACGCCGTCGTCGAGGCCTGCGATGCCACTTGGAAGAAGGCGCGCAGCGCGATTACGAAGTATTGGATCTAAGTGGAAAAGTACACCATCGAGTGTTCGGCCCACGTCTATTAGCTGGAGCATTCTCATCGTCATAAATTCATCCCGCTCAGCTATCACATAATGCTCTCGGCTGTTTAGAGATCGCTGTTGAACAATTCAGATATTCTGCAGAATGTGTTGATATACGTCCGAGCCTGCTGATCCGGCCGTTGTTCAATCATGGTTTGCATCCCGCATGCCTGAGAACGATGCGTCATATCAGTCTCATGCTAAGCTCCTTGAAGCCTTTCTCTGGGAGATTCTAAGGAAATATAGACTATTGTAACAATTAATGACAGGGCATATGCGCCGTCATTAATTCATTCCTAAAGCTGACCCGGTCAGCGAATTGTATATCAGGGATTGGAATGCCTTACAAGTAGAATTACTGGTAATCCAGCACTCCCAGTACCATTTTCGACATACGTGAGTACTGTAGATTGCTTTTATAGTACACCGACCTGCGACAGATAATCCGTTTGATATTGGTGTTCCTCGCAAAGATCATTTCCAATGACAGTGAATTCTTCACGTAACGGTGGAGCAGCGTATATCCGTCGAAGGAGATCGTCTTGACAGAGGGCGAGGCACTCATTAGTGCCAAGACCATGGTATCGTTTAGATGTGTAGTGTGGGGATAGAAGTGGACCTCTTCCTAGAGCGACGCGTTAGGATCGCTCGCCACGCAGAAATGTCATTGCTGAGCGCAGCTTAAACTTACCAAACATGAGCAACTCCGTACCATGGTCTCAAGCATGTTTTCGATAGTCTTCTTGTTCGCGTTTTTTTCGTCGTTCGCCCCGAAAGTATGTACGTAGAGACGAACTGGGCTAACGGTGGGCAGAGCTCGCTGCAGCCCTTTGATAGACTCGCTCGACGACACCATGGCAGACACAAATATCGTCTTCAGATTTGTCGCGAATTTCAATATGTCCTGGATCTCTATTCCGTATCCGGCCTCTAGCCTCACGTGCTCTATGAAGCGAGCGAAGACCGGAGCGCGCAGTTTGAGAACCTGAGCCACAGCCCGTGCATGCTCGGCGGAGGCGATGCAAAGCGAGGTGTAAAGGGCCCATTCTCCAATTTGTCTCCACTTCTTGCATACTAGCAAGATGCACGACGCAGGGGGCTCGCCGTGTTTGCGCTTGACTCTACGAATCTCTCTGAGATGATCGTCGTAGAACTCGTCCTCTGGTATGATGAGGCAATGACGTAGAATTTCGCGGGTCAGTTCTTCGGGAATGTGGTCGATAAGCTTCATCTGAAGAACACAAGTTGTCAGTAATGATCTCACGGCGAGAAAGGAGGCGGACGGTAATCTCGGCCCAGAGACCCGTGGGAATACATCACGCCTGGGTGCCACAAAGCTGTCGGACTTCGAACCTGTAACGCGCAGCTCGAGACGACCACCCCATCGTTACGCGCCTTCAGTCGCCAGTTCCAAGCACTTCTCAATTTCCCGGCCTGAGGGCACATCAGGGTGCTCACGTACGTGACAAATGTTTTGAAATATATCGTCCGTCATCAAGACTGGCGCGCTTAGGGCCGAAAGAATCTCCGTGTTGAGACATGTCGCAAGCTCAGGCCCTACACGCCTACTTTGAGCTCAGAATGCAGAAGTATACAGGAAGCTGTCGCAGACGAAGAACGAATCAAGTCATCAGATCTTAACAACATCATTCCCGCTTTGAACATAGGATAGAGTTATTATAACCTTCGCTATCCATGGCTCGGTATTAACCGGTCGTAAGTCCACCGAAGGGACCACGCTTCCAGCGCGCTGGCAGTTCTAACCATGCAGCTGTCTTTTTCAGAGCGATGGCCACGCTGGTCAGTATAGCGCTCGTGCTACGCCCATCAATCGCCGAGGCCACCCCCACCCCAGTCTTCTTCTCTGACATCCAGACCCCGAGCGTGGACACCAACGACAGGATGTTTGCGTTTCTTTACGCTCGTGGACTCAAGACTATTACCTTCGTTCAACGGACCATCGTCCCTGAAATCTCTGAGGACGGACGGAAAGTCAAGAGGGGTTTCTATCCTTTAGGTTGGTGAGTCGTTGGCATGGACGCTCGCCCATACTACCTTCCTACACTTATATACCGTACCGCTTCTTTCAAGTCGCGACTCTCCACTTTCAGACGCGCCCGCGTCTTTTGCAGAGCACCCGCGTCGTTAACGGCTATCTAGAACCACTGGCTGTCTCTGTAGAGAAGCTTATGCTAGCTGCACGAAACTTGGGCACTCTGTAGATGCGAACTGTTCCGATGTGGCTGGCTATTTGTTCTCATTTCAAGCATCGCACACGAAGCGTAAATGCAGTACAAGGACGGGTATATTGCACAAGCGGCAAAAGCCAAGGAATACAGCGCAGAAGTAAGTCCTTAGAGATGATGCCGGTGCCAAACCTAACCTAGTGTACTATATACGAAGAGACAGCGGATCTGCAAGGAGCGAGTAACAATTGGTGGGATCGATAAACGACAATGCTAGCGCAAAGAGGAAAGAGAACGTTTGCGTTGTAACACGAACTGTGCCAACTGGTGAGCTTCCATGGGTGCGCGAGCTGTACAGGATGGTACGAACCTCTACCTCTGCAAGGGATGTCGCGCCATCTTAGCAGCGCCGGGGCTGGCAGTAGTACACCGGGTAGCAGTACGTCTGCGGCTGGGGGCGCTGGGGAGGGCATGGGTTGACACCCGGGTAGCCCATCGGCTGCACAGCGCAATTGTAGCAGACCGTGCAGATGTAGCCGTTTCCGCAGTTGGGGTCACCGTTGCGGCACTGTTCAGAAGTGTGTTAGAGCGCAAGGATACTGACGGCATCTGATCAGTGTTCACTGACCATATTGACTTGGATAAGTGGATATGAAAGGTGTGGTGGTTTGTTTGGAGGAGAGCTGGGACTCGGTGGCGAATGCTGATGAGGAAACAAAGCTGGCCTGAACTCTGGCTTTTAAGCCCTCCAGTACAGCCTAGCGCTATGTGCGCAAGTTTGTTGCAACCGATGTTGTACGAACTTGACAGCGTACACGTGTACACGGCCTGCATTCCTTCCGACCATTCCTTCTATTGATTAGTCTCCCTCATGTTTTACCACAAACGAACTTGCTGCCGCGGCCAACCTTCTCGTGCATCAAGAAATGCAGGGAAGATCTATGAGACGACATGATTCAGAGCCTCAAGGGCCGCCATGCAATTAGCTGTCTGTGCCTGTTGGCAATACTTGCTCTAGGCTGCGGTCGCAACTGGGGGTGGGTCCTTGCACCTTCCAGAACCCCGCGAACGCCGGCATCGATACGCGACCGTGCATGACCAAAGCATACCATACTGAGGCTTCCACCGCCGCCTCACGGACTCAGGGAGCCAAGGACGTCTTCACGCCGTCTGTGTTCCATGATAGATTGAGTTCTGTCTATGTACTGCCTTTCCTTGGCCATGCATGGTCCTCAGCTTTGTGCGTTCGACGTCGAAGACGGTCACCCGAGGCTGCGTAATTCGACATTTCCGGTGCTGTTCACAACAAATACATTGAATGGTTGTGCGTGAGGATGATCCGTTCAGTGTTGCTGCGGTGCGAAGGCGGACGGCGCTTTCGGCTCGCCGATCCGGGGTTCTCTGAACCGCTACAATCCAGAGAAACCTTGCAATGAGGATGCCTGCTGGCAGCAGGCTATGCGCGGGGACGTCATGCCTCCAGTATTCTGGGTCCGGGAACCATGGGACCTGTGGAGGGCCTGTGCATCTCGTGACAATATCTTGGCTCACATTCCGGGTACCTTTCAAGCCCGTTTTCCCATGGACCCTTTCCTGTTGGGAATGCGGATTATTTTCCGAACCTTATCTGCTCGTGGATCATCCTTTCCAACTATTTGGTACGTCCACGGCCGTTCTTAGACGCTTCAACTCTGAACGCGAGGCGAGCTCAATCCCCCTATAGTCAAAGTCGTCAGACATGGCTGGAAAGCTCGACAATGCCAGTTCCACAAATATGTATATGGTGTTCGGATAGCTCGCTTCTGATAAGGAGCAAGTAGCTGAGAGATGGTACGGCAAAGACCGAAGAATGGTACGGCAAAGGGAGGAATGATACGGCAAAGGGTCCTCTAGCTCGATTGAGGCATAGTAACTGATGGATAGAGGGCCAACGGGTGCCAAACATGAGCGCGCGCAAACCTGGCCCCCTTGCGTCAATCTAGTTCTGTTGAGGTGTCCTTATTCTACTCGCCGTCGGCCAGTGCGACCACTACGATGCAAGCAGGCCGCCCGCAGGAGTTCAGCATATAATCTAGGGATATCCATCCGTTACCCCTGGTTATCGAGTCCGAAAGCACTGAGCTAGAGTTGGCATGTCCCACAATCTGAATGCTTTTCCAGCTGTTTTCGCAAGGTCCCCAGTAGCCATTATAATCCGTGATTGAAATATTGTCCAACTCGCGTCCATGTCGTACGGCGGCGCATAGAAGTCCGGGCACAAGCTCTTCATGCAGCAATTCAGCCCAGGCGCTTCCGCGCGATATTGCAACGAGTCACGACGCGTTGCGCATGCGAGTTGCTTGCCGACACTCAGCCATTCGCATTTCGAGCACATACACTGGTGAGTAGCCAGACACACGCTATAAAAAGAGCAGGAGCAGCTGACAGCACTCAGAGGACGTTCGCAAATTTGGGCATGAGCGCGAGTCACGACATACGGCATCCGACTCGGCGTTCGATCGACGGACAGCAAGTACATTACGAACGCGCAGGAGGCGTTCAAGTTGTACGCGACTACAATCTGGACCGACGTCGGGGCATATCGCTGCTCGCGTGGATTCCATGCCGCGGTGTGGATTTTTTGTGGTAATGTTAACGTGTTACAGACATTAATGTGCTACTACAGTGAAATGCGCGCTATTAGGATGGTTCCAGCACAAATTCTCGACATGGGACGCGAGAGTAGAGGACAGCGGGGAAGATTATTTCGTAGCAGCTTGTCCAGGACGCCGAGTCAGTCATGGTACGTCCCAGTATGAAAGTACACCCCAAGTGCCGTTGGATCGCGTGTACACAGGCCGAAGGCCCGGCAGTCCCGCCCTCAGTATTCATATTACTTCTCAAAGACTATGACGTTCGTCCGTCCACACAAGAGGCGAGAGCCAGCTCAATACAGCTGGACAGCACGCGAGGGTGCGGTATATGCAGCGGATGCTGCATCATCAGTGGCTCAATTGTTGTCCTCAGCTCGTATAAATTATCTTCGCGTCGCTCCGGTGAGTGTTCTACGCGCAACGGACAGAAGTGGAGGGCGGGGGGATTGGCATGGCGGGAGTGCATCTTTGGCGGCGCACGGTGAGCGCCAGGCTTGCCTTGCACGCTTTAGAGTCGAGACGCTAGCTATCCGGTACCGATCCGCTGCGCTTTTCGCCTATGTTCGGGATGAGAATTTTCAGTTAACTGAACTCCGGCTGACTAAGCGATCTACGTTCTTCAAAGCACTCAATTTCCATTTTCTCGAGCGCACAGGGGGTTTGTTCGACTCTAACATATGTCAATTCCGAGGCTAGCCCTTTGCTGTACCATTCCTCGGGTATTTGCCCCCTATTAGAAGCGCACCGTGCGAGCAACAGATTATTTTCATTGTGTAATGTCCACAATTTGTGGAGCCGTCGGGAAAGGGTCCACAAATGGAGAAATGCTCGAGAGTCACGGTAGGCTCGGGGAGTTGATTGGGTGGACTAGAACAGTGCTACTGGATGGTAGCTGAATGCACAGCTTGCGCGGTTCTCCGTCCCAGAAGATCGGGACCATGACGTTCCCGCGCACAGCCAGCCGCCAGCCTCCTCATTGCAGCGTTTCTCTGGATCACCCCTGGATGAGTCTCGCAGTAACTACTCAGAGGATCCCGCATCGGTAATTTGAAGATACCGTTCGCTTCAAAACCATCCACCTTCACTCCGTGATAAGACTAGGCGGAGCACATTGGTACTTTGACAGAAAGGAGGAGAAAGGGGGGAAATACATCTTCGCATGCAACCACTCACTCATGCTATACTTTCTGTGGGCGGTATTAACGATGTTGAACACACGATGCTGAGAATTGTGCATAGCCAAGTACAGCAAGCGCATAGACAGAACTCAATTCGTCATGGAAGTCAGGTGACAATGATACGAAGATATCCCTGCGCACAGCAGCGTTGAACAATGCTCAGCACGGTATTATGTTGGGCTATGCATGGTAGCACATGGCCGCCGCTGTTCGTGGGCTTCTGGGACATGCAGCGCGAGGACCTATTACTATATCAACAGAGGCGCTAGCCTAGACTCGAGAGTACTGTACTAGTGTGGGCACAGCCAGCCGTCCCGGGATCCACGGCGAGCATTGATATTGAGACGCTGAAGCATATCATCGCATCTAACTTCCCCGCATCCTACTAAAAATGATGCGTTCCTGACGCATGAGAGTTTAGCTGTGGTAATTCATTCAGAAGACGAGTCATCAATGGAAGGTGTCGGGAGGAATACACGCCGTGTGCACGTGTACATCCCCAAGTTCGCACAACATCGGTCGCAACAAACTTGCGCATATATCGGCAGGGCGAGGATGACTGCTTATAAGCCGACGTCCAGACCAGCTTTGTCTCCTCATCAGCATTCGCCACCGAGTCCCAGCTCCCCTCTGCACTCAAACCACCACACCCCTCATATCCCTCTATCCAAGTCAATATGGTCAGTGAACACTGCTAAGATGCCACCAGTATCCTTGCGCTCTAACACACTTCTGAACAGTGCCGCAACGGTGACCCCAACTGCGGACACGGCTACATCTGCACGGTCTGCTACAATTGCGCTGTGCAGCCGATGGGCTACCCGGGTGTCAACCCATGCCCTCCTCAGCGCCCCCAGCCGCAGGTGTACTGTTATCCGGTATACCAGTGCCGGCCTCGTCGGTGCTAGAATGGAGTGACATCCCTTGTCGAGGTGGAAGCTACATGTTCGTGCCATCTCATACACTCCGCATACTCACCGAGACTCACCGATTGACACAGTTCAAGCCTGCGGCTGGGAGTTCACGTCAACACCAATGCAGAGCCCTTTTTTTCACTAGCGCTACTGTCGCTGTTGTCCGCACATCGAGCTCTTTTCTGATAATATTTCTAAGCATATGTAGTCGTGCAATACACAATAAGACCCACTTTATCTCGCGTACTATCGCTTGACGACCGCTGCCTAAAAACGCAGAAACGCAGCTCTGAGGTCTACATCGAGGTAGGCCCTGCTCTAGCTAGCGTTGATTACAGCCGAGGAGACCGTGAGTGGCATGTCTGCGCTGGCGGCTCGAAGACTATCTCTGAGCTGCCCTTTGGGCATGGATAGTAGTAGCAGTAGTGCCCTAATAGTCACGGCGGTCTGTGGCACTGAACATGTTAATTGTGCAACTGCGCAGAAAAATAAGTGGACGTACCGAGAAGTATGGACCCATAGAGGTTCGGAACTTTAGAGCAGGCGGGATCGCATCGAAGGCGGACACTCAGTGCTCAGGCTGCGCACAACCCAGTCAAAGATAGTAGAGCCTCCTACTTTTCCATGTTCAGAATCTCCGGGATGTTGTTCTGTTGGATGAACCCACGAACAGAGTGGCAATCTCAGGTCCACGAGCGCGAAGGAAGACGGATGTAACGTTGACAATAGGGGTGTTCAAAGTTCGCTTTGAACGCGCTTTGGACTCGCTTTGATGGCGATTCGGAGGATGAAACGGAAACTCGAAGCGGCGCGGTTTCGGGGTCCTGAAGCGACGATTCGGGCTGAATCGTGCTGAATCGCGTCGAATCGAAGTCGTCCGTCGAAGCGGCTCCCGAGCCGCTTCGCACGCCGCCCTTCGCTTGATTCAAGCTCGCTTTCCGGACCAACCTGCTTCGCCCCGTCCTTGGCACCCTCCTCTTCCCCCTCCTCCTGTGCTATTTGCATCAATTTTGTAATAGCCCCATGCACATAGAGTAGTGACACATAGAGTAGTGACAGTGGGATCAATTTATATTCATATTTTGCTACTTATTTTCTGCGTGTTATGATGAAAAGCGTGTCCCCATACAAGCATTTCTCGGCCACCTCATGGTGCATACCAATGGGTAATATTTTGGAGGCATCTTCGCTCCCTGAGAGCATGCAGGAGCCCCGCTACAGGTATAATGGAGTGTATATAGACCATTAGGAATGAGGCGGATGTGTCCCTCGCGCCGCCAGCACTTCGATTTTACTCCCTCGTGATCGGGGGTGTTCAAAGTCTACGCGCGCTTCAGTCGCGTTTCACTTCGTTCGAAACGACTCTTGAAGCGGCCGTGAATCGGTTTTGCGCGCGAACTTTGAACACCCTAATGTCCGGGCTAGTCACGGTCTGGGCGTCTGGAAAAGCGGAGTTAACCCGGAGCTTTCTCGGTAGGTGATAGCCAAAACCGAACGTCTCACCGGTCAGCGGCTAGTGACTAGCGACCGGTGATGCGGTGGTGACTGACGCTTTCGCCGAAGACAGCTGTGAGGGGAGAAATGTGAAATAAATATAAAGGCACTGAGTACTGAGCGCTGAGCATTGGCCATTTGGTGAACTTACGACTGGTGACCGGTGACCGGTGATAGGCGAGTACTCGAGTACCGGGCCACGGATGGCGAGAATTGCACTGCAACTGTTTCCATCGTGAGCTGAGAGCTGCGAACACCAGGCCCTTCCTGAGTTCATCTGACACCGTTACTTGAATCATGACACCTCCTCTAAATGCTTCTGAAGCTGCGAAAGGTCCCTCTGTCACAGGCCAAAAAATCTCGGATCTGCGATCCAACCTTAGAAGCCGCTAAAAACTTGGTTAACCGCCGTCGCCGTTGCTGCTGTTATCGTTATACAGGACTAATTTAGTCACTCGTGCCGCTTTTTGAGTCGAGAAATGACAGTGTACGGAGTTGTCTTGAAGAGAGCGAGTAGCGATTTGGAGCGCTTAATATGCGAGAATGCATCACGGAGTAAAGCAACCCCAATGCCACAACACTACGGGCATGAGCTGATTTCAGATCACCTGAAATGTCCCGGTCAAGCCATCAAAACTGTTTCATTTTCGAAGACTTAACCGGGGCTTTCTGGCATCCCAAAATGATAGATTTGCTACCACTTTCGTAGCCATTTGTGGTGCAGGAAAATGATAAATGTTGTGTAGCCTGAAATGAACCTGAAATGACTCAATATGGCTACATTTCAGTACGGCAAAGAGTTCATGTTTCAGGAGACCTTGTGGCGCATTTCAGGACATCTGAAAGAACATATGTAGAAATCATTTCTGCCT